CCCAAATCTCAAATTCGCCAAATCCCAAATTCCCTAAATCCCAAATTTCCCAAATCCCAAATTCCCCAACTCCCAAATTCTCCAAATTCCTAAATCCCCAAATCCCTAGATCCTTATATCCTTAAAGTCCCTCGATCCCTACATCCCCAAAATACCTAGCTCCCAAAATTCCTAAATCTAAAAATTCCCAAAATCCTCAAAGTTTCCAAAATCCATAGACCCTAAAATCCTTAGATTTCTATATCCCTAAAATCCCTAGATCCCTAGATCTCTAGATCTGTCCCTACATCCCTAAATTCCCAAATCTCCAAAAACTCAAATTTCAAAATACCAAAATCCTATATCCCTAGAATCCCTAATCGAATTTCTAAATTCACAAGTTTCTTTATACATAAATTCTCTCTTTCTGCAGTAAAAGAAATATTGAAATAGGTATTGAAATATCCGGTAAACTTACGACCCATAAAATGGGGCTTTGATTAAGGGGGTAAAACGTCCGTTAAGGAAACCCAAAGCAGGCAACTCGCGCAACAAACATATTCTTTTTTCTGCACGTGCTGGATCGATACCATTCCACGAGTCAGCCAGTCAGCCACATTTCCTCGATTTCCTTTTTTTCCCCGTCTTTCTGTTTGTTCCAGCTCGGCGTCGCAGCTTTCTGGCATGGAAGCCGAGGAGGACACGTGCAACGAACGAGTGGCCACTTACAAAGTCGGCATGCTGGGTGCATCGGGGGTCGGAAAAACCGCCCTCACCGCGCAATTCACCACCAGCGATTATATCTGTGCCTACGACACGTCTCTCGGTAAATTTCATAGATATTTGTCGCTATATTTCACCGAATATCGGAGCGAAGTTATTTCCTGATCCATTTTATGTGACACCATATTTGTTGACAGCGGTTTTTATGCTTGACGTGTTCACTTTCGTAAGATTTATTGGGGTTGTACGTTGTTATTTTATTCTCTGGGTTGGTTTAAGGTCCCTGTTGAGGTAATTTGTACTGCAAAGTGCTTTGACAGTGAACGTTAAGATTTATTGTAATAAATGATCAATTTTGTGAACATAATTTGGTGTAATTTTAGAAAATTCATTTTAGAAACATTACTCGGTATAACTTATCGTCAGCCATTTTGTACTTAAAATATCGATGAACCATTTACGTAGTCGTTTTCTTGAAACCTCAAGCTTTAATTTCATGTACTATAAGTGCCATTTTGTGCTGCGTTTATGTCATGAAATCTCAGCAGACCTTTCGTCAGGAAAGCAATAAACAAATTTTAGTTTGGAACCATTAGTCGCTGTAACAGATCGTCAGCCATTTTGTACTTAAAATATCGATGAACCATTTACGCAGTCGTTTTCTTGAAACTTCAAGCTTTAATATCATGTAGCATAAGTGGCATTTCACGCCGCTTTTGTGTCACGATATCGCGTGAGAATTTACACGTTTCAGAATGAGCAGTTTAATACGACACAAGCTAATAGTTCGCCGGTAATTAAGCGCGATTCGTAGAGTAACCGTAATTAATTTCATACGTTTCTCGAACAGTTGCCAAGTATGGAGTTCGAAATTGTTTATCGCAAATCCTCGAAACGTTACCAAGTCCGTTAGTTACTAAAGTTGGCGTAATTTCAAGCGAAATGGTTCCCCGACGTGCATACGTTCCGAGCCAAATCGATTTCAACCATTTCGAGATTTCGCGAAACGTTCCGAGGCCTGAGTTTAATACCTTCCCAAGTTTACTCTTGTCTTCAAGTAACCTGACTGAAATGCTGCTTGACCTTCCACGATTAGATTCAATATCGCGTTCACAATTGAAACTGTGAGCTTTTCAGTTTGGAATTTACGTAACCTCTTCTTACGATTCGTGACTGATCTATCGATCATCCGTATATCAAATCAATTTTCAAGACCAACTTCTATTTTATAATTATAAATATTTTAACATTGATATCAATTTACTTAAATATATTCAATTTGTACATATGTCACATGTGTGTGTGTGATAACATATGCCACATATGTATGCCACAGATATGCTACATGTGTAACAACATATGTCACATGTGTATATTATAAAACACATTCACATGTGTGTTACAATATGCACATGTTACATATGTATGTTGCAACATGTGTTACACATACGTTACACATGTATGTGTTAACATATGTTAGCTATGTTTGTTACAACGCACATTACACATATGTGTTATAATGCGTACATGTTACATATGTATGTTGCAACATATGTTACACATATGTTACACATGTATGCTATAACATATGTCAGCTATGTATGTTACAAAATATGTTACACATGTATAATTCAGCATATGTTTAACATAAACGTTATAGCATATGTAATATATGTGTGCAAGTACAAATGTTACACATGTGATGTAATAACACATATCGATAGTATAAACAATAAAAAATAATAAAATCCTGCAAACCGTAATGAGAAATGTTTCCACATAATGTCAGAAGAGAGTTTTATTTCACGGAAACGACAAAGCCAAACAAACTTAAATAGAAATTAATTATAATGAAATTTTTCAACGCAGCTATGTACACAAAAGTTGCATGCATATAGCTTGCAATGCAATGCACATTACGTTAGTCTGCGTCTGTTTTTGTCCCTTTTTCGTGCTTTGTTTCCCACGCATCTGGCATACGTTTTCAATGGTATAGCCTTATAGAAATGTAAAATAAACGAGCTCTTCAACAATGGTATTTCCAACGATCGAGTCGTACAACTAGCACAAATTGCGACTAAAAATATAGCCCGTAGCCCTGTGCAGCTTCAAGAAAATAATGTACAAAAACAGACGCTTGAACAAATATGTATTTATAACCGCGACCACTCAACTTGATTGTGCACGTTTACGAAACTAAACGAGGGAAATGCGGGAACCTGGATAAATTGTTCGTGGAGGAACGTAATTGCGATTCGTTAAAGGGAGTTTAAGATTTGGAAATTTGGGATTTGACGATTTTCGAATTTTTTGGGGGGATTTGGGAGTGTAGAAATTTGGAAAGTTGAGAATTTGGGAATTTGGAGAATTTGGGAATTGGGGAATGTGGAAATTGGGAAATGTGGGAATTGGGAAATGTGGGAATTGGGGATTGTGGGAATTGGGGAATGTGGGAATTGGGGAGAGTGGGAATTGGGGAATGTGGAATTGGGGAGAGTGGGAATTGGGGAATGTGGAAATTGGGAGAGTGGGAATTGGGGAATGTGGAAATTGGGGAATGTGGGAATTGGAAGATGTGAAGTTGGAGAATGTGGAAATTGGGAAATATCGAATTGGAGAATGTGGGAATTGGGAAATATGGAATTGAGGAATGTGGGAATTGGGGAATATGGAATTGGAGAATGTGGGAATTGGGAAATATGGAAGGATTTGGGAATTGGGGAATGTGGGAATTGGGGGATTTGGGAATTGGGGGATTTGGGAATTGTGGAATTTGGGAATTGGGGGAATGTGGGATTGGGGAATGTGGGAATTGGGGAATGTGGGAATTGGGGAATGTGGGGATTGGACAATGTAAGAATTGAACAATGTGGGAATTCGGGAATAGAATGTGGAATTGGGAAATGTGGAATTGGGAAACGTGGAATTGGGAAATGTGGAATTGGGGAATGTAGAATTGGGGAATGTGGGAATCGCACAATGTGGGAATTTACACACTTCAAGATATTTCTCTTCCAAAATCTTAAAATTCCAGAATTTAAAAATTTTTTTTCAATAACCACGTTTTACAATTATGCAACCTCCTGAAATCTTTCTTGCACAAAAGAAACAAGTGATAAATCGAAAAAGCGATTTTCTGGTCAACAAGCGTGATCCTCAATACAAAAGCCCATAAATGCAAATTGTAGTCGGTCTCCGAGTTTCCTATACGGAAAGAAAGTGACTTCGTTTACATCAGAAGCGAATGAATAGTTGAATAATGTTGATTGTCTGCCGTTTCTCCAACAGCTTTTCCCCCTTTTGCATTAGACGCTTTTCATTTCTACGAAGACAAGAAAATACGACTCCCAGGGTGTTTGTACGAAGATAACAATGAACGGGTATTTCTTGATTTCATTAGCATAATCGTAGGCGCTGCTTAATATTTCTACCTTCGAGGATTGTTAAGAGGGAATGGAAATTATAGCAATGACTTTTGTTGTTTAAATTTGTTGTACCTGTGGGAAGTATGGTGAAATAGGGAACAATGAATTTGAATTTATAATTTGCGAATGTGGTTAATTATTTAATTTTGAATTGAAGAAATTTGAGAATTTTCTGATATTCTAATTTTTTAGGTTTAGAAATTTCTACATTTCTAAATTTTTAGATTTTTAGATTTTTAGATTTTTACATGTCATAATTTCTACATTTGATAATTTCTACATTTAGCACTTTCTACATTTAACAATTTTTGCATTTGACAATTTCTACGTTTGATAATTTCTACATTTGATAATTTTTACGTTTGATAATTTCTACGTTCGACAATTTCCACATTTGACAATTTCTACATTTGACAATTTCCACATTTGACAATTTCCACATTTGACAATTTCCACATTTGAGAATTTCTACATTTGACAATTTCCACATTTGTCAATTTCTACATTTGACAATTTCTACATTTGACAATTTCTACATTTGACAATTTCCACATTTGACAATTTCCACATTTGACAATTTCCACATTTGACAATCTCCATATTTGACAATTTTTACATTGAATAATTTCTACATTTAACAATGTATACATTTCTTCATTTCTTCATTTATAAATATTTAATTTCCCAAATATATAAATTCTCAACTTCCAAAACTTCTACATCATCAAATTTGCCCCATTTCTAAAAGCTCAAATTAAACGTGACAATCACAAAATAACATTTGTTCACCCTCCATGCATTCAATCACCCCAACCTCTCATTGTCATTTCTCTCCAACGAAGTCGAAAATCTTCCACGTTTAATAAGCGGATGAGACGAAGCTTCTTTTGATTGAGCACGATAGAAAAGAAAGAGCACGTAGTTCGTTAGATCCATTCTCATTTTTCTTAAGAATTTTTCCTTCCACGTTACGGGTAGATTGTTACGAAGAAATTGATATTAATATCATTGTCAGAAGAGCTATTTTCATTTAGGACGCATCCTTCTACGGTGCAAAAATGACATCGATCTCCGTTACAGTGTTCATAATGAAAAACTAGAAGAAAGTAACTTTTCGCGAAACAAGCCGTGTGTCGTCATTTTTCTACGCGTATCCACCATATTAATATTGATTCGTCTTTGTTTTCATTTCACACTATAGAATCCATAAAATAACACGTTGCTTTTTTGTTGTTAGACTTCGGTTTTAGTCTGTTGTTTAGTTTGCATGTTTTAAGTGGTTTACATGTTGTGAGACACAATTTGTATTTTTTAGGTTATGTACAAATTTATTGTATACCTAAGTACATGATATTTTTTATATAAACTTATAAATATTATATATTTTATATATATGTAAAAAGAAATGAAAGAATGAAGTTGTAAATTATTATATTGTTGTGTATTGCAATGCTGTTATATTCATTGCACTGTTTGCAGCAGCCATTTTGTGTCGAAACGCTTGAGCAGCCATTTTGAACTCTGGTATTCAAACTTCCACGTTCAAATTAATGTACTATAAGTGTTAATTTGTAACAATTTCATGAAGCGTAAAATTATTAAGTAAAATTAAAAATTGTTTAAATAAAATAAAATTAATCTGTTGAAGTATGATTGAAAATTTCTTAAACAAGAGAAAATTGAAAATTGCTTAAATAAAGTAAGAATAAAAATTGTCAAAATAAAGTAAAATTAAAAATTGCTCGAATAAAGTAAGACTATTCTATTAAAATACAATTGAAAATTTCCTAAACAAGGAAAAATTGAAAATTACTTAAATAAAGTAAAATTGAAAATTTCCAAAATAAAATAAAATTAAAAATTGCTTGAATAAAGTAAGACTAAAAATTTCTCTAATAAATTAGAATTAAAAATTGCTCGAATAAAGTAAAATTAATCTACTAAAGTAAAATAACGAATTTTTAAAGTAAACCTTCACAATCTCTCAAACGAAGTAAATATATAAAAGCTCAAACAAAGCTAAATTAAAAATTGACCGAATAAAGTAAAATTAATTTGCGATTGAAATTTGCAGACGAAGAATACGGGCAAAAAAGCGTTTCCGTGATGTTGAACGGCCAAGAAACGGAACTGGAGATCATTGATCATCCTGCAGCAGAGATGTCGGTAAGTGTAACGTTATAAAATTCTGTAACAAAGAAGAAACACGATCCAATATCGCTGCGATAAATTGCCAGGTCATTCCGTAATTAATGCCGTTACATTAATTTCGTTGTATTTATTTCAGTTTACGTCGCTTAATAACGTTCGCGGTGGACTACAAAGAATTCAGGTTAATTATACGGGTATCCATTTTGAAAGTTTCTTTTCTTCCTGTTTCGCGCGTCAGGTAGACGTCTCGTAAACTTTGTCCCTCGTAAAGAATACATTAACCAGGTTATTCAGAGAACTTATTTCTAGTTAACGTCGTTACTTCTATCCTGCGTGAATTTCGTGAGATTACATTATTAATTCAGTTTAGGCGGCGTGAAAAGTTCCACGAGATACTTTAAGCTTTTTATTTTATTTATAACATTAAAAAAATTTGTCTATTCCGTAGAAAACTTGATTCGATGTGAATCTTCATAATTATTTTGTAATTTCTAAATAATTTATTTAGAGGTTACCACTCAGTTTAATGTAATTCAAAAAGTACTACAAATAGAAAAATAAATTTGAAAAATATAATTAATATTTTTTAGTTAAATAATGATGTATAATATAATGTATTATGTTAATACATACGTGATGCATAATATAATGTATTATACTGATACATATATGACATATAATATAATATATTGATGTATTATACATATAACATATGTATATGACGTATACAAAAAACAAATACCAGCAAGTGGAAAAATATTTCAAAAGAATTCGCTCAAACTTTTTCCCTAAAACATTGTAACATCTAACAGCAACCTTCGCGTAGAGAAATATTAATACAGCACTGAATTAGAAATGGAGTCCGTGCCATTTTGCGGCAACGCGGACATCTTCTTTAAGACAAGTATTCACGCATGAGCGAATAAACTAGAGCAATCAACGTCGAATAAAAAAATGAAACTTTATCATCGTGACCTTCACCTTTGGATTAATGAAACGTGGCTGCTGGAATCGTGTTCGATCTGTTCGAAGCACGTAGTATCGGCACATTGCTTCCCTCTTATATGAACTGTTACTTCTTTATCGAGGATCGCTGTGTTGCGTGACCAGCTTCCCAACATATACTCGTAACGCGAGTCTCGATGTAACTTCGTTAAATTGTTCTTTTCTTTGGTCTTAACGCTAAGAGAACAGATAATACAGAAACATAAACACGACGATAAAACTGGGGAAGTAATTGTAACAAATTTCGCCCCTCTGAAATGTTTCTTTTTAAGTAGTTGTTAACGCAGATTAGATTTTGTTATGGATGTAATCAAGCTTGTTTGGAAATTTTTAGGTTAGGTTATGGCTTTCAGAACGAATTTATATTTATTCAGATATTTACATTTGTACATATTTATTAGTTTGTGGATATTCAAATTTGTAACTTCATATTTATTAATTTGAGGATATTTAAATTTATGGATTTAAATTTATTAATTTACAGATGGTCTGAGTTGTGAATTTAAAAGTGTTTATATTTACAGATATTTAAACTTGCAAAATAAATATTTAAATCTGTAAATTTACAGGCACTTAAACTTGCAAATTTATAAATATTTAAACTTGCAAATTTAAAAGTATTAAAACCTGCATATTTACAAATGTTTCAACTTGCAAATTTAAAAGTATTAAAACTTGCAAATTTACAATCATTCAAACCTGCAAATTTACAACTACTTAAACTTGCAAATTTACAAACATTAAAACCTGCAAATTTAAAAATATTCAAACTTGCAAATTACAAATACTTAAACTTGCATCTTAAAAATTTCTCAAACCTTCATCTCTCGAAACCAAAAAATCCTCCACATGTACCCAAAAACTTTCATCCAAAAAAACTTTTAATATATCACCCACCAGTAACATAATAATCCACTAACAATCCACAAATCCATCGATAAAATTTATAATCCACATTCTGTTTGTTTAACCCAGGTGGAAACATTTTGCTCGACATACAACCCAGACGTGTACGTAGTAGTATATTCAGTGGTGGATAGACGAAGTTTAAAGATGGCCGAGGAGACTCTGTTGTATCTGTGGAAGAGTGATTACATGGCCAGTCACGGAGTGATTCTCGTCGGGAACAAAGTTGATCTTGAACGAAAACGTGAGGTTCCGTCTGTTGGTGAGTAACAGAAATAACGAGCAAACTTTTTGACGAGTTATGCACGTTTGCTTGTTATTTACTTATTAACACTTCGCGTGTCTTCTACGATTTATGCTAGGGTTTAGAGACGGCTTCCCTTGGGAAATTATTCGAACGAGAACATTTGCAAATTTTTATTTAGTGGTTTTTGGATTTTTGAAGATATGGGGTTTTGGGAGTTTAGGACTTGGGGATTTGGGGAATATGGGGAATTTGGGAAGGTTGGGAAAGTTGGGAGATTTGGGATTTGGGGGATTTGGGATTTGGGGGATTTGGGATTTGGGGGATTTGGGATTTGGGGGATTTGGGATTTGGGGGATTTGGGATTTGGGGGATTTGGGATTTGGGGGATTTGGGATTTGGGGGATTTGGGATTTGGGGGATTTGGGATTTGGGGGATTTGGGATTTGGGGGATTTGGGATTTGGGGGATTTGGGATTTGGGGGATTTGGGATTTGGGGGATTTGGGATTTGGGGGATTTGGGATTTGGGGGATTTGGGATTTGGGGGATTTGGGATTTGGGGGATTTGGGATTTGGGGGATTTGGGATTTGGGGGATTTGGGATTTGGGGGATTTGGGATTTGGGGGATTTGGGATTTGGGGGATTTGGGATTTGGGGGATTTGGGATTTGGGGGATTTGGGATTTGGGGGATTTGGGATTTGGGGGATTTGGGATTTGGGGGATTTGGGATTTGGGGGATTTGGGATTTGGGGGATTTGGGATTTGGGGGATTTGGGATTTGGGGGATTTGGGATTTGGGGGATTTGGGATTTGGGGGATTTGGGATTTGGGGGATTTGGGATTTGGGGGATTTGGGATTTGGGGGATTTGGGATTTGGGGGATTTGGGATTTGGGGGATTTGGGATTTGGGGGATTTGGGATTTGGGGGATTTGGGATTTGGGGGATTTGGGATTTGGGGGATTTGGGATTTGGGGGATTTGGGATTTGGGGGATTTGGGATTTGGGGGATTTGGGATTTGGGGGATTTGGGATTTGGGGGATTTGGGATTTGGGGGATTTGGGATTTGGGGGATTTGGGATTTGGGGGATTTGGGATTTGGGGGATTTGGGATTTGGGGGATTTGGGATTTGGGGGATTTGGGATTTGGGGGATTTGGGATTTGGGGGATTTGGGATTTGGGGGATTTGGGATTTGGGGGATTTGGGATTTGGGGGATTTGGGATTTGGGGGATTTGGGATTTGGGGGATTTGGGATTTGGGGGATTTGGGATTTGGGGGATTTGGGATTTGGGGGATTTGGGATTTGGGGGATTTGGGATTTGGGGGATTTGGGATTTGGGGGATTTGGGATTTGGGGGATTTGGGATTTGGGGGATTTGGGATTTGGGGGATTTGGGATTTGGGGGATTTGGGATTTGGGGGATTTGGGATTTGGGGGATTTGGGATTTGGGGGATTTGGGATTTGGGGGATTTGGGATTTGGGGGATTTGGGATTTGGGGGATTTGGGATTTGGGGGATTTGGGATTTGGGGGATTTGGGATTTGGGGGATTTGGGATTTGGGGGATTTGGGATTTGGGGGATTTGGGATTTGGGGGATTTGGGATTTGGGGGATTTGGGATTTGGGGGATTTGGGATTTGGGGGATTTGGGATTTGGGGGATTTGGGATTTGGGGGATTTGGGATTTGGGGGATTTGGGATTTGGGGGATTTGGGATTTGGGGGATTTGGGATTTGGGGGATTTGGGATTTGGGGGATTTGGGATTTGGGGGATTTGGGATTTGGGGGATTTGGGATTCGGGAGATTTGGGATTCGGGAGATTTGGGATTCGGGAGATTTGGGAATTGGGGGATGTGGGAATTGGAGAATGTGGGAATTGGGGTATGTAAGAGTTGGGGAATGTGGAATTAGGGAATGTGGAATTGGGGTAATGTGGGAATTGGGGAATGTGGAATTAGGGAATGTGGAAATGGGGTAATGTGGGAATTGGGGAATGTGGAATTGGGGAACGTGGAATTGGGGAACGTGGAATTAGGGAATGTGGAATTGGGGAACGTGGAATTGGGAAATTAGGAAATTAGGAGGCTTAGAAATTTGAGTTGACAACTTGAGAGCCCAAAATCTTGAAAATCCCCAACCCAATTTCCTAACCTAAAACCCCCCAAACAAAAAGATCTCAATTCCCTTCCCTCAAAATCTTCCCTCCAGTCTTAAACCCCATCTAAAAGTAAGCTGCAAACATCCATTTCGAACTTGCAACTAGTTAGAAAATGGCTTCCATTGAATACACCAGAAACTAATAGATTTGAACGAATTTTGTGACTTGTAAACAGTTGGTCGACGTCTGGCGAACAACTGCGGTTGTAAATTCATCGAAACTTCTTCGGGATTGGCCCACCACGTGGACGAGCTACTGGTCGGTATTCTCGCACAAATTAAGCTGAATCCACAACGAGATCGAGATCAAGCGACCAGACGGAAGCGAAGCAAACACCGCAGGAGGATTCTGAAACACTTACTGGGATTCAAAAGGAAAACCAAGAGTTGCGAGGATCTTTTCGTTCTCTAACGTTCGAGACGCTGAAACAATATTTGATCCTTTGATTTTTCACGAAACTTCGAATTAATTCGTTAATAAAGTGCTGTAAAGATGTATAGTTTTTAAACGCGCGAATTCGAAGCTAGATTTCGATGTTTGTTTTAAAGGAAACATTTAGGAGTCTGTTTTTCATTGAAATATTTGTCGCGTTGCAGGATTGTTTGTCCGTTAATGTGGGGTCGCTGGTGACCCACGGTATTTATCAGAAACATATCCTTACAGAAATGTTTAACTTGGAAATAAAAAATCGGAAAAGGAAAGAGTATTTAGGTATATTAAGTTGGTGCAATAGTAATTGCAGATTATAAATTTTATCGATTCATTTTAATATATCTGTAATAAAACTTATGATAGAAATATTATTGGTGTTTTATTTTCTTTTACACTACCTAATTTTTTATGTATAAAAATTTTTATGAACGTGAAAAGAAAAAATTTTCAGGTAGACACAAAGGGTAAGTATTCGGCAATATAACGAGAGACCACTATAATTACAATTATAACATATCGAATAGCACAGGGGAGTTACAGTGTGATATAATGGATGAAATAAGAGTTGTTTGCAAAAGCAATTACTTCTGCACCAATTTAATCGTACAATCGTAATTTTTTATAATCAAATACTAAAATGTAATTTTTCGTTTTGCTTTACGATCATTGGACTGAAAGTTCTTTGTGGAGTAGAACGCGATAAATTTCCAATAACCTGCTTCGGAATGTCTTAATTGAAATCTGTCGTGGAACAATACTGGAATTTCATTCTCTGCCATTGTTTGCTGCAATCGTTTTGTTTTGAAGACGTTGACGAAAGATTCGTGTAGCCATTAACGTAACTAGGTTCTCCGTACAGGAAGAGATAGCTTGATAGTTTTGGGGAATTTAGGGAATTTGGTATTTTCAGATTTGGGGAACTGATGGTTGAATTTGGGGATTTAAGAATTTGGGGACTTTTGAAATTGGGAATGTGACATTTTGGGCATTTATGAATTTGGGGATTTTTGAAATCGGTGATTTGAGAATTTGGGGATTTTTGAAATTGGAAATTTGAGAATTTGGGGACTTGTGAGTTTTAGGGTTTGCGAATTTGGGGACTTGTGAGTCTGGAGATTTTTGAGCTTGGGGATTTCTGAGTTTGGAGGTTTTTGAGTTTGGGGATTTTTGAAATTGGAGGTTTGAGAATTTGGGGACTTGTGAGTTTTGGGATTTGTGAATTTGAGGACTTGTGAGTTTGGAGATTTTTGAGCTTGGGGATTTCTGAGTTTGGAGATTTTTGAGTTTGGGAATTTTTAAAACCGGTGGTTTGATAATTTGGGGACTTGTGAGTTTGGAGATTTTTGAGCTTGGGGATTTCTGAGTTTGCAGTTTTTTGAGTTTGGGGATTTGACAATTTTTGAAATTGAGAATTTATGAATTTGGGAATTTTTGAAATTTAGAAATTTAGCAATTTATAGATTTAAAAATTTGATAATTTAAAAGTACAGAAATGAACGAATCTAGAAATTAATATAAAAAATTGAACCACTAAAAAATAAAAAATCTAAAACGTTAAAAATTAACAAATTATCCCTTAGTTACGTCAGTAACAATTTCCCCCTTCTCAAGCTTCACATTAATAAAAATTGCTATTTTGCCACACTCTCCCCAAATATCAAACGTCCGCTCCGAAGTCGGCCATCCAAAACAAGCAAATCGTAGTTGCTCAAAAATTAGCATAACATCTGAAAGAACTACGAAGCATGTCTGAAGCAGTAAAAGAAGTATTTTGCTGGTGAAACGACCGCGCGTTTCGTGAACCTCCTTTGGGATCGAATTTGCATATCCTGAAAAGTGTAATGGGAGCATGTGTTCGAAAGGATTTCCCTGTCAAGGCGGATTTGAAAGAGGAAGACGTCCAAAGGAATTATTTATTCAACTTTGAACGTATTGATTTTTAGAGAAGTATACCATGGAAGGTTTACTATCACCAGTCTTGACAGCTTTCTAAAATAAAGTGGTTCTCCGGGCAAATTTCTGTGATATGCAGAACGACAACAGAGATTTCAAGTAGATTTCGGTTTAAGTCGTACGATACGATGTACATATCCGAAAGGTTGAAAGAGAATAAGGAAACGGAGAAAAGAAAACAAATTTCCTTGTGTTAAATTTAAAAATCTCCGATTACATGAGTTTCTGAATTTCGTCGTTGTTTTGACATTCAACATAGTTATATAACAATAAGAAAAGATTGTCGGCCACTGTCACGGACCAAAATATAACAATTACTGTTTTAAACATTTGTGGAAGCGTTCAGGTGATTGAGTTATACTTTGTTTTCGCACTTCATGGTGTGTTTTTTGTTCTGAAATGTGTTGTAAATAAATATCGTTTAGAGAACAATAAACGTGAATTAATTTGATCGGCGAAACCCAAGGAGATGTTTCTACCGATATGGAAGGTGATAGCTGCTTAGAAGCCAGTTAATATTATATTTAAAATTTGTTTTAAAATTTTGACCGATCGACGGGTTTGATAGTGGAACTCTTCTTGACCGATGGCTTTGATGACAGAACTCTACTTAACCGACGGTTGTGATAACAGAAATCTTCTTAACCTGCGACTGTGATGACAGAACTCTTCTTGACCGACTGCTCTGATAACAAAGCTCTTCTTGACCGACAACCATGCCAACAGAACTCTTCTTGATCGACTGCTGTGACAATAGAACTCTTCTTGACCGACAGTCCTGACAATCACCGCACCATCTACCGGCGGCATGTGGGAACTAATCAAACTACAGTTTCAAAAGTATGTAATTCATCCTGTTCGCCGGAGAGATGGCACAACATGTCCCATTTTCGAAAAAACTCAATTAATACTGATTTTATCGATTAATACGCTATATATGTATTATATATCTTGATTTTATGCTGTTTTCCAAAGAATAGCTAAAAGCTGATTAGCGATTCAAAAGACGTGTGATGAGTTCATAATTTGACCTTGAGTACTGTGGTTCTCCTTCACTTACTTATTTGGTGTAATTTTTTATTCCTTGCACGTGTTTTGCAAACGAAGGTACCAAAGTCAATGACCCTTGAAAAGACATCTAAGTACTTTGCGGTCCATGAAGATCAGTTATTCTAATTTTCGAAAATAATGCATCTATGCAATCTAGTGGCACTTTTTGATGGTATTGCATCTGTAGAATAATTTGAACATGAACGTGCTTTATTTTACAAAAGCATCTAGACGACGCTGATAAAAAGCTCATACATTTTAAAAGTACAAGTGGATAAGAAATAAAGAATTTGATTAAGATTTAATTTCCATTATATTTACGTTTGTACATCGTCATAATACACTCTGTAACTAGGATGCCATTTATGTATATGAATCCGTGGTTGTTTGTTATCCCATCTCGGTTGCTGCGTCGACAGATGTAACATAACAGGTCCACGATTTTGTTCGCGTTGTGGTTTAACGTTGATCTCCAACTTCGGCATACGCGATGGTTGATCTGAAAACAATTTATAATGATCAAAACACTAGAGCCTATGCAAACATTCAAAATTTTAATTCGCAAATTGTTCAGTTTAACAAATTTTAATTCGCAAAATTGTTCTGTTATTTTTGTAAATATATTTGTATTGAAAAAAAGAAGAAAAAAAAGTTATGAGTCGTGTCATATCGACCAGGCTGTCGACACGGTCCCACTCCCGGGCGCGATCCCACTACTGCTCGCCACGGAGACTTTTGGCTGCTGGGTTTCCCCCCTGGTCCGGTTCGACTCTCCTTAGCCAACCTGGGCATCCCGGATTCCTCCAGGATGTCCATATTGATGGCGAGCTTAGCGCGGACACCTAGTCAACGTGAGCCCCGCAATCAACAGTGACTCCTGTTCTCAGACCCTCCTTCATAACCAGCCTCCGAGTAGCCGGATTACAGGAGCCGCCACACTCCCAGCTGACGGAGCAACGGACAAACGGAGTATTTGAACACATGCGATATAGAGAGACGAAACTATGATAGAGAGATTAGATGTATGATGAAATGTATGACAAATGCGATGAAATAATAGCAGGGGAAGTTAGAGAGTAAGGGAAGTTAAATAGCAAGGGAAGGTAGATAACAGAAGTCATTCGGATTGCAGCATCCATGGTATAGGCTGATACAGGAAGAAATACAAAATGCTTGAAGACATGCAATATATATAGAGAAGGAGCTGAAACAATGATAAAGAGATGGTGACATGATGAAATAATAAAATAGCAATACAAGAAGACACAACTTCACCACCCATCAATTTCAACAAATAAAAATATTCAATAATTGAATACATCTCCCTAGTACAACCTTTTCTCAGCAACTACCTATGATCAACTACATCGTACATCATATCAATGACATCAATTATATCATATGTATGATTCAGTTTTCTACATCATCAGATACCTACATCATTATATTAAAAAGAAGATAAAATAATCTAAAAATTTTATTTTACCATTATTATTATGATTCGGTTGTATGTTGGTCCAAACCGGAGGCCTTTGATCTGGTCCCGGAAACCGGATACTCGTGCTTCCAGGGAATTTACCGCTACCGGCATTCGAAGAGGCGAAAGAATGCGTGGAACCGATCGAAGACGAAGCAGACGTGGATGCATGTCCATTTCCGACACTTCCTGACGAAGAAGCAGCAGCATTGCCAAAACCAAATGCGTGACTGTTCACATTCCCTTGATTACCGCGTACAGGATGATGTTGACTGACAGCTTGACTCACGGCACCGGAGATTCCTGTCGATCCTGCGGCTAATGACACCGACTGACTTTGAGAGACGGCCCTGAAATAATTATGTGTAATTTTACCCTTTTCTGAGTGATCGAGGAATTCGTGTTTGTTTTGTAATTGCGATGTACTTTAAAGTTTTTTGCGTGGTGTGGATGGAAAAATATGTTGGAAGGGTAGGGTGGGTTTTGAAGTGTGTATTATTACACAAATGGATTTGAAAGAGTTGATAGTCTGTATTGTTAAATTTGCAAATTCTTAAATTTCAAAATTCTCAAATCTTCAAATTTCTAATTCACACATTGACTAATTCCCACATTGCCCAATTCGTACATTTCCCAATTCCCACCTTCCTCAATTCCACATTCCCCAATTCCACATTTCACAACTCCCACCTTCCCCAATTCCACCTTCCCCAGCTCCCACATCCCCCAATTCCCACATTCCCCAATTCCCACATTCCCCAATTCCCACATCCCACAATTCCTACATTCCCCAATTCCACATTCCCCCAAATCCACATTTCTCAATTCCACATTCCCCGATTCGCACATTCCCCGATTCGCACATTCCCCAATTCCCACATTCCCCAATTCCCACATTCCCCAATTCCCACATTCCCCAATTCCCACATTCCCCAATTCCCACATTCCCCAATTCCCACATTCCCCAATTCCCACATTCCCCAATTCCCACATTCCCCAATTCCCACATTCCCCAATTCCCACATTCCCCAATTCCCACATTCCCCAATTCCCACATTCCCCAATTCCCACATTCCCCAATTCCCACATTCCCCAATTCCCACATTCCCCAATTCCCACATTCCCCAATTCCCACATTCCCCAATTCCCACATTCCCCAATTCCCACATTCCCCAATTCCCACATTCCCCAATTCCCACATTCCCCAATTCCCACATTCCCCAATTCCCACATTCCCCAATTCCCACACTCTCCAATTCCCACATTCCCCAATTCCTACATTCCCCAATTCCACATTCCCCCAATTCCACATTCCCCGATTCGCACATTCACCAATTCCATATTCTCCAATTCCCACATATCCTAATTCTCACATTCCACAAATCCCACGTTTCCAACTTCTCAAATCCCCAAATCCTCAAGACCTAATCTCCCCTATCTTCTCAAATCTTAAATCCCCAAATCCTCAGTTCCCTATCTTCCCCATCTTCTCAAATCTCAAATTCCAAAATCTCCAAATTTCCAATCTCAACATCCTAGAACCACCTCTCCAACATCCTCCACTAAATTAACCCGGGAAATTCAAATCCCAAATGCTTCACAAAATAAAAAACAGACATATGACCATACACCGCAGCGTTCTACGCAATCAATAATGATATATCAACTGAAAAAACGCTATATGAGTAAGAAGAATGTACATACCCGCTGGGTTCGGACAATGGATGATTAAAACTGTTGCTCTCCGAGTAGCTGACGCCTTCCGGCCCCACTTGGAAGCCCAAAGAGTGCGCATTGCTTCCAGCGTTAACGTTGATATTTGTTGTGATTGGAATAGACAATAATCGTGCATCCCTCATATCTGATGTCTTGATGAGTTGCTCCGGTATAAGCTTGGGTGGTGTGTTCCATCTTCGTTCTACTTCCTTTGTGAGGAAACTATCATCTGCGGATTGAAATACGCTTTCTGACATACTTAGAACGAGATATTTCTTCTGGCTGTGCTTTTGTTATGAACTGGGGTATTAATTTTTTCGTTATGAGAAACATTTGACACGTAAGAGATGTGGTTTTTTAAAAAGAAAGTTAGAGTAATGTGAGGATGTTGAATTTTTTAAGCGGGGTGACATGGCTTCAATTTTTAATTTAAATTAAATTAGAGAGATATTATGTTGAAATATATTAAGTGCAAAACCACATTCCCCAATTCCACATTCCTCAATTCCCACATTCCCCAATTCCTACGTTCCACAATTTCCACATTCCCTAATTCTCACATTCCCCAATTCCACGTTATCCAATTCCCACATTTGCCTATACCCACATTCCCCAATTCCACATTCCCCCAATTCCACATTCCCCAATTCCACATTCCCCCATTTCTCAAATTCCCCAATTTTCACATTTCCCAATTCCCACATTCCCCAATTCCTACATCCACCAATTCCCATATTCCTCAATTCCACATTCCCCAATTCCCACATTCCCCAATTCCCACATTCCCCAATTCCTAAATTCCCCAATTCTCACACTCCCCAATTCCCACGTTGCTCAATTCCCACAATACCCAATTCCCAAATTCCCCAATTCTCACACTCCCCAATTCCCACGTTGCTCAATTCCCACAATACCCAATTCCCAAATTTCCCAATTTTTACATTCCCCAATTCCCACGTTGCTCAATTCCCACAATACCCTATTCCCACATTTCCCAATTCCCAAATTCCAAAATTCTCCAAATCCCAATTCTCAATCTTCCCACCTTGCAGAATTTCCGGCTTACAATTTTATATTGTTATTTTAATCAAACACAAGTCTATTTACTATTCACCACACTGAAGATTACTCAAGTACACTTATTATTCTAAATGAATTCTGTTTGTTTTTTAAGAAGGTTCACGTACGTGTTAAATGTGACATATATTTTAGATTAATATATGTTATAGTTGTTACCTGCCCACACAAGCAGCACACACGATGACAAAACGTAGAAGATGCTCCTGTCCATGTCTGAATGCGTTCTGACTTCGGCACGACTGTTCTCCGCCCTTTTTTAATAAGTATGAACGACCTTAAAGTCCTTATTGACATTCATCGTGTGTCCACCCACGTAATACTCTTCGACGAATGGAGTCACAATCATGCGATGACACGAGCGTTCGAACTGAAATGGGATTTTCGATGAACAATCTGTTGCTCCACAAATGTATAAACAATCATATATTATATATTTCTTCCGATTGACTGGTATTAATAAATAATTGTTGAATCATATCGCATTGCTTTAATCTTAAGTTTTAGATGTTTGTAAGTATTGCATGTTTACAATTTTATATAAATTAACAAATGTGAATAAAAATTAAATTCAGTAGAATTTAGGTATGTATCAGCAATTATAAATGTATATTAAATATAGATAAGCAGTTGTAAATATAAATTAAGTGTACACAAACAAGTGTAAATTAAATATATATAAACGTTTGAAAATATAAAATAAATATAAATAATAATAAATATAAAATAATTATTCATGAACAATTGTGAGTATAAATTAAATTAGATATAAGTTCATTTCTATGATATTTTTCTTATGTTATGTTTTGAGTTAGTACTCTGTTTTAACGTCCTTGATGGTGCTGCCATCTTGATCGGCGTTCTCGTCCTCCATCTTTCTAGATCCCTTCCGCGAACTCTCCTCATTCGATAATTTGATAAAATTCAATTTATCTCACACCTTGCTTCATTAATCTTTCATCTATCTAACTTATATGCGTCTTAATAAATCTTCCAAAAATACCACACTTTTCCAAAATCACATTTCTAAAAAATAAAAGTCACAACAAACTAATGCATTCATTTATAACAAACGTGAGAAAAGCAAACAACTAATTAACTACCAGGAATAAAAATTTCATAATTTCATAAATTATATTCCAGTAATAATTTGATTCCCCATAACCTGTAATAAAAATATTCCAACCTCTTACACTCATACTTGCACAAAAACTATCCACACATTCAAAATTGATTCTAACCTGCCCCCAAACGTAAAGAATTCCGAAAACCGCTACATGATACAACATTGTCTGCAAACCATTTGCGTCACGATCAACGATCAAGCATACAACGATACTTAATTACGGGAATATACTATAAATCATAAGATAATTGTTATTAAATCTGTTCATCGATGCAGATGCATTTCTCGGTTTTTCATTGATTACTCTCGTGATTCACAATGTTTCTTCTTTAAACACACCTCTTAGAATTATTCATCTGCTCTTCATCAAACTCCTACTCAGAATATTATCTCAACCACGTCACTGATCATAATTAACAGACTATTGTTTTTCCACTTGTTTAACAAGACGGTGCAACAAATTTTCCGCCTAATAAATTCGCTGTAATTTTTTACGCTAAGTTCATAGAGGATGTTATAGATCGTTGCGTCAGTATTGACTCAAGTAATTGAGGTTCAGAGAAGCATTGATTATACCAAATCCTTGAGAAATGAGGGATATATGTTTTTTGAGAATTTGAGGATTGTGGAATTGGGGAGGTTTGGACCTTGGAATTTTGGGAATTTGGGGACGTGTGAATTTTGGGATATGTGGAGTTAGGGATATGTGGATTTGGGGATCTGTGGATTTGGGGATATGTGGATTTGGGGACGTGTGGAAATTGGGATATGTGGAATTGGGGTCATGTGGGTTTTGGGATATGTGGATTTGGGGACGTGTGGAAATTGGGATATGTGGATTTTAGGACATGTGGAAATTGGGATATGTGAATTTGGGGACATGTGGATTTGGAGGCATGTGGAAATTGGAATATGTGGATTTGGGGACGTGTGGAAATTGGGATATGTGGATTTTGGGACATGTGGAAATTGGGATATGTGGATTTGGGGACATGTGGATTTGGGGCATGTGGAAATTGGGATATGTGGATTTGGGGACGTGTGGAAATTGGGATATGTGGAATTGGGGTCATGTGGGTTTTGGGATATGTGGATTTGGGGACATGTGGAAATTGGGATATGTCGATTTAAGGATATATGGAAATTGGGATATGTGGATTCGGGGACATGTGGAAATTGGAATATGTGGAATTGGGGTCATGTGGACTTTGAGAATTCGAAATCTTAAGAATTTAAGAATTTAACAATTGAAGAATTTAGTTATTTAAAACCATGTAGCCATCAAAAGTTAGAATTCTGAGAATTGATGACTTCAAATTCTATCAGTATAAAACTTCTGGAATTTCAAAACACGAAATTAAATTTTTTTAATTGTAGGACTTAAGTGCTTCTCCGAATCAAACAATCAATCCTTCACGAACTTTTTCAAAAATCACATAAATTTGAATCGTGTATCTTCAAAAATGATAAAAACGTCTCACCCTATACATGAATCACTATCGAAAGAGGATCGATAAAGTTTACATAACAATGTTTTCCAGGAACCGCAATGACAACTCGCTCGATTTTCTGTCAACAACCATTTCACCATTTTGCATAAAAGTTGCATAGGGTCTTGTATCCTAACCATACAAAAAACAAACGATTCTGCATAAATCCTTTATCGTTGTTAAGATAAATTTCTTGATATTGTAAGATCGACTGACGCTGTCGGGGAATACCCAATCGCGAAAGTTGATTACCTTCTGCGCATTAAACCATGCTGATGCTTTGGACATCAAGCTTGTTCCCTTTTGCACGGACGTTTACCGTGTTTGAAGGTGAAGAGTACTATAGTTACGTCTGCCTCCAACGAGTTCAATGTCAAGCGTAACTTACATGGGAAGCTAGGTCTAAGAATCAGAGAGTAATCTTAGTTCATTCTGTTTTTTGTTTGTAGGAATTGCATGTAGCGAAAAGCAAGATTAAATTCATAGTATTAGTTATATGTGAAATTTTTTTATTTGGGGGACTGATAGTTGGAAGGTTGAGATGTGGAGTTTTGGAAGGTGGAGATTTTGGGGTTTTGGGATTTGGGAGCTTTGTTGATTTGGGAGTTTAGAGATTTTGCATTTTGGAATTTTCAAGTTTCTAAATTCTCAAGCTTTCAAATTTCCACATTTCTAATTTTCTACATTCCCAAATTCCCACATCCCCCAATTCCCACATTCCCCAATTCCCACCTTCCCAAATTTCCACACCCGCAAATTCCCACATCCCAATCCCTGCACCCACAAATATCCAAATCAAACAAACAGCCTCGCAATTCCCGAATCCCCAAATCAACCAAAGTGCTCGAAGGTACTTCACGCAACAAGATCGTTGACAGTTCATCAACAGCGCATTTTCCATATCGTTTCGACCGTCGAAGCGGCAGAGAAAGAGGGGCGAACAGTTATCGCGTCGTTTAGCTTGCAGTAACACGAGACCGTTAGCATTCACGGGCCGGCAGGATAATTCCTATATTCTCCAATTCCCACATCCTCCAATTCTCACATTCCCCAATTCCCACATGCTTCAACTCCACATTTCCCAATTCCCACATTCTCCAACTTCACATTCCCCAACTCCACATTTCCCAATTCCCACATACCCCATTTCCATATTTCCCAATTCCATGATAACCCAATTCCACATTCCCCAATTCCACACTCCCCAATTTCACATTCCTCAATTCTCATATTCCCCAATTCCCACATTCCCCAATCTCCAAATTCCAAAATTCTCCAATTCCCAATCCTCAAATTTTCAAATTCCCAAAATCCCAAAATTAAAAATTCCCAAATTCCTACATTCCCAAATTCTTAAAACCCCACGTTCCACATTACGTCACAAAGTCCTAAATTTGCACATCTTCATTATTTCTAATTCCTAAATTTGATAACCCCTTAAATCCTCCCATTTGTAAACTCCCAAACTTCCCTACTTGCAGAATTCAAATTATTTGAACGTCTCCTTAAAAAAGTCCTTAAAAGGTTACTCTCTCAAGCATACACATGTACATATACAGAATGACCATATCATTTTCTTTATTTTCACTTCCTTTATCCTCTTGCAATGTCATCCGATGTGCAATTTCTTTTTCCTAACTAAAACTTTCAATTTTCTTTTTTCTTCATACATTCTTGTTCTATGTCCCCATATCCTCGAATAAAATTTTAAGAATTTAATATAAAAATATCCTATATATAAAATACACCCGCACATGAGCAAATGAAATAATTTTTAAACTCTTTCCATTCGTACACAAACCATCATGTAAAACACTTGTTACAACAAAAGGAAGCACGCGTTATCGATCGTACACGTCATCTTTCATTGCAATCAATTGTGAGCATCATAAAGACCCAATGGAAATTTGTGTTATGTTTCATCGTGTTTACTAAAAGCGTGCACAATTGTTTCCATGAAAATTGCACGAGAGACAGAAATTTGCGGGTTGCTACAATATAATTAATAAACCGCATAATTATCGGTTGTATCAACATCGATCGAATTATTCAGAAACTGTGAGATGTTTGTTTAACAATAAGTATCCTTAGGCACCATTTTGTAGCGTCTACGAAAAGATAGCAGATGAGCGGCTTCAATTATCTATAATCGATTGTTGCACCACGTGCAACAGGATGTAAGAACAATTACGATTCGATTTATTGATTATTACTTGTGAGTAATGCCAGACGTACTTCTTCATTATTGACAGGAACAATGAATCGAAATCGAATTTGTGTTTTACACCGTTTCGATAACTGAGTCATTGATTCCTATTATTTTCGCATTATTCATTCTTTCGTTATATTGCTTAATTTGTTGTTTTTCGTTTATTTTGCAAAATTGGTGGGTTCGAATTTTGGGACTTTAGAGACTTTAGGAAATTGGAGGATTTTAGAGATTTTAGGAATTTTAGAGAGCTTAGAGTGTTTAGAAACTTTAGGGTTTTTAGAGACTTTGGTGATTTTAGGGACTTTAAGGGCTTTTGGGATTTTAGAGAGTTTAAGGTTTTTGGTAATTTTAGGGAGTTTAGGGATTTTAGAGACTTTAGTGATTTTGGGGACTTCAAGGACCTTAGAGAGTTTAGGGTCTTTAGAGAGTTTAGGAACTTTAGAGATTTTAGGGACTTTAGGGACTTTAGGGACTTTAGTGAGTTTTGGGACTTTAAGGGCTTTTGGGATTTTAGAGAGTTTAGGGTCTTTAGTAATTTTAGGGATTTTAGGGACTTCAAGGACCTTAGAGAGTTTAGGGACTTTAGGGATTTTAGGGACTTTAGTGATTTAAGGGACTTTAAAGACTTTATGGATTTTAGGGACTATAGACTCTAGAATTTGTTAGTTTTGGAATGTTAGGATTTTTAACACTATTTGACTTTGGAATTTTGGGATTTTGAAATTTTGGGAATTGCTGAGTTTTGGAATTTTGGATTTTGGGACTTCTCAAATCTCCAGATTCTATAATTCTCAGATTTTCAAATTTTTAAATTTCCCAATTGTGAAACTATAATCAATGAATTATTGGATAGCTAGCTACATCACATATCATCCATATGTTTCTTCACCTAATGTCCTAAATATCTAAGTCCCTAGGTCTATATCTAAATAAGTCTCTACCTATTTGTATCCCTCAGGGTCTCTACACTTCATGATCCAAATATCCTCTAATTATATTGTCATTTCGTAACAAATAGAACTTTCAAATAACACCTTCAAACTTTCATATCCCTATGTCCCTATAATCTCACATCTTTAAACTCCTATGTCCCCACATCTCTAGAACCTCTATATCCCCATGTCTCTTGAGTCCTTACATCCCCATATATCTTTCCTACATCTTATTTTAGTTCCTACAACCCCATATATCATGAGTCCCTACATCCCCATATCCCTAGGATATGACTCTATAACCATACATCCTCAGTATTTCATTACAATCATCACTTCAAAGTTCATACCTAGTTAAAAATTGCACAAATCATCTTTTATGCACAATACACACTATTTATAGACTTACATTTAACAATGTCATTCAATGTATCCTACACAATCTTGAAGTTTCAATTATTCCCTGACATAATAATTCTCGATAAGAAAACAGCGTATAAAATTATCACTCAAAATCCCTAATACGTAATAGCTGTCATCAACTCTAGTTCTATCGTTTCTAACAAAAAATATGTACCACCTCTAACGAGGCTTCTGGACGAGAATTAATAGATCAATTGAAAGAAGAAAATATGTATTCAAAATTAATTTCCACGAAAGCAACGGAGCGTGAAGTTTTTCACACGTCGCAGACGTGCAAGTGTCAAAACCGCGGCAACAAACGGAAGTGGACGGCCACGAATGCTATATAAGAGGACGAGCCAACCAATTGACTCAGTCATTCTCTCAGAAACTACGACACCGACAGGATCGATTTCAATTCGCGCGTTCCACAGTGACAAACAAGCATACGTTTTCGACTCTTTTTGCTACGGTGAACCTTAACCGGTCGTCGACAAAATGGACGTCAAACTTTTGACGTTGCTGGTGTTCGTCTGCGTCGCAAGTTCGACCGCGGAGTTTCGTTCACCTTTTTTCAGAACGCGACGAAGTGAGTAAATAGAATTTCTTTTCCTCTATAGATTCCATGAATGCTTCTTCATTGACTACCTTTTTTCACCGGTTTTGTTGTTACACGTGTATGCATGTCTAACTACGGTTTAACAATTAAGTAACTGAGCAATCGATTTAACATTGTGTCGTGAAATGTATAGGATTTGTGATTTAATTTATGCGTTTATCTTTGATTAGTTTTGTGAACATTTATTTTATGATTTTACCTTTGATTAGTTTTTTGAACATTTATTTTATGATTTTACTTTTGATTTGTTTTGTGAACATTTATTTTATGCTTTTACCTTTGATTAGTTTTGTGAACATTTATTTTATGATTTTACCTTTGATTAGTTTTTTGAACATTTATTTTATGATTTTACTTTTGATTTGTTTTGTGAACATTTATTTTATGCTTTTACCTTTGATTAGTTTTGTGAACATTTATTTTATGATTTTACCTTTGATTAGTTTTTTGAACATTTATTTTATGATTTTACTTTTGATTTGTTTTGTGAACATTTATTTTATGCTTTTACCTTTGATTAGTTTTGTGAACATTTATTTTATGATTTTACCTTTGATTAGTTTTTTGAACATTTATTTTATGATTTTACTTTTGATTTGTTTTGTGAACATTTATTTTATGCTTTTACCTTTGATTAGTTTTGTGAACATTTATTTTATGATTTTACCTTTGATTAGTTTTTTGAACATTTATTTTATGATTTTACTTTTGATTTGTTTTGTGAACATTTATTTTATGCTTTTACCTTTGATTAGTTTTGTGAACATTTATTTTATGCTTTTACCTTTGATTAGTTTTGTGAACATTTACTTTTTGCTTTTACCTTTGATTAGTTTTTTGAACATTTATTTTATGATTTTACTTTTGATTTGTTTTGTGAACATTTATTTTATGCTTTTACCTTTGATTAGTTTTGTGAACATTTATTTTATGCTTTTATCTTTGACTAGTTTTGTGAACATTTATTTTATGATTTTACCTTTGATTAGTTTTGTGAACATTTATTTTATGCTTTTACTTCTGATTAGTTTTATGAACAAACAACAACTTTATGATTTGAGAATGGGGCATTTGAAAATTTGAAGATCTGAGAATTTTAGGATTTGGAAATTTGAGAAGTTAAAAACTTGAGAAGATGGAATCACATCAATTTGGAAATCTGAAAAACCCAAAACATCAAAGTGTCAAAACTCTCAGGTTCCCAGAGATTTAAAAGTCTTGAAATTTGTAATTTGAGAATAAATTACTATTATTTGGGAAAATCTGAAAATTTTAGAATATGGAAATTTGAGAACTTAAAAGCTTGACAAATTGCAAAAACATCAATTTGGCAATCTGAAAAACCCAAAACTCCAAAGTGCCAAAACTCTCAAATTCCTAAAGATTCAAAAATCTTAAAATTTATAATTTGAGGATAAATTACCATTATTAGAAAAAAATCTAAAAATTTTAGAATCTGAAAATTCGAGAACTTAAAAACTTGACAAGTTGCAAAAACATCAATTAACAAATCTGAAAAACCCAAAACGTTAAAAGTCCCAAAACTCTCAAATTCCCCAAAATTCGAAAAACTTAAAATTTGTAATTTGAGAATAAATTATCATTATTTTCAATAATATGCAATTAACACAACATTTAATGAGTTAATCTTCCAAACGTAAAAAGTGAAGAGTTTTTTACTGGCACTCCACTGATTCAGTCTGCAGAGCTGTTGACGAAAACTAGTAATTATGCGAAAATCTACAACACGCGTATAAACATGTAATTCGTTTACAAAGTGCATGTTAGTTAGGCTTTCCCATTTACGCGATAACATAATTACTTCTGAGGAATATCCTATCAATGTTTTGAGACATGACTAGCTACGAAAAAATGTGCATATGTGACAGAAGGTTGGATGATTTATGACGCGCGTCACGTTATTTTTTGAAAAAAACTGTTTTCTATTCGGTTTGGTTGTTTGGTATACTTTGTAACGGTATTCTTGTAATTCTGAAGGAGATATTGAATATTTCGTACGTGATGTTCTTTCAGTTTTTAAATTTTTATTTACGTAAATAACGTGTGTTACTTATTATACATGAAATTCTCTAAGTACTTAATTATTATTTATATTACACATTATATGTAATTTCTCAAGTATTTATTTATTCTGTATATTACTTACTATTCATTCAATATTTATTTATTCAATAAATGACATACACAAAATAATATGTTTTCACATAATTCATTCACATCAAGGTTAACTAATAAATTTTTGTTCAAATATATACAAAATAAAAATAAACTAAGTAATAATATATTGTTATTTTAACTAAGAAGTAACTAAAAGTATCAGCCAAAAATATTATTAACTACAAAATTTTGTTATATTAATTAAAAAATATTGTTATATTAACTTGAAAACTACCACTACATCAAACAAAAGTAAACAAGTTATCGTTTAGAGTAATTACAATTAATATTTATTGAAGATCAAAAGACTCTCGAATATCAAAAATAAGGAGTTGAAAATTTAAGCACAACACTGATGTCACGATTTTGTAACGCAGTATAACGGAAGATTAACGAAATCTCATTTTATTATCGATGTTGTGCATAATAAGCATGATTCATTAGAGTCGTTCTTCGACCTTTTCAAGGACGTAAATCAGCGACTGCCATTTACAAGGAAACCATCTTGCGTTGAGTACAAGGATACAAAGAATTATATACAACAATAAGTTATATAATCGGTAATCGGGTGTTTAAATTCCGGGAATGGTGATTATGAAACAATGCACCCAGAAACCCTTGAAAACCCATCATTGGGTTTTTTTAGACCCTCGTTTTGTGGAGGAACTAGGAAAAATTGTTGTGCACAATAAATTTATGTTTATTGATAAATATAGAAGCCTTAAAATTTTGGAACTTAGAAATGTCATAGAAAATTTAGAAATTTCTTAGAAAGGTTTTATGTCTATTGCAAATTTTATGAACGTAATATTTAATTTAAATTTCAACATACATAATTACGTACATAACCTATAATTTTCTTATACCAACTACTTCATCTCTACGTTTAAACGTAGTCAAAAATTAAATAGTCTATAAAATTGAAAACATCAGTCGTAAATAGAAATTCATATAGTCCACATTATTCGACAATTTATTATTCACGTAGTTGAGTAATAAAGAATAAGGAAAACGAATGGGTTTGACCCACTGACGAGTTAAGAAATCCTCAAACCTCAGTTAATGAATATTTGGAACAGGTAAACGTTTATGTCGATAACAAAAAATTTTAACCTTAAGAAGCTAACATTGAAACAGGTCTGAGCAGTTATTTATCAAACGTCCATACATATGTATGTTTGTCCGTAGAATTAAAAAAGAAACGATATTTTAAACCGGGTTCGATTATTTGAATAAAAAGGAGATTACTTATAACCTCGTTATTTTAATTTGCCCAAAAATGTGGATTTGTAGATTTTTTTTTATTGTGGTCGATGACGTTTGTGCGAATTGAGGATTGAAAATTTGAGGCAATTAGAAAGATATAAAGGTGTATCGTGGAGTATGATTCAGACACCGAGCTCAAGGTGACCATTTTATAATTACAAAGATTGATCTGTGGGTTTGGGAAATACCAGCTTTTCGCGGGAAATTTGAATTCGAAGTACCTTGCGCTGGTATGATTTTAATGTAGGTAATATTTTATTTGAGATGATTTAATAATTTTAAAAAATTATCTTGAATTTGTGATAAAATGAAAAATAGTGATGTAAACTTTGAATTAGTTTTTGAAACTGAAAAGATATACACATGTAGAATATTTTTAGAAATGAAATAGCAAACAATTCATATCTCATGGTTGATAATATTACATAACAAATATCAACAATGTAGTAACATTTATTAATAAATATTACAATATAAAAAATATTTGATAAATCCCTATCTATCTAAAGAAAAAATTGAATTGAATCAAAGATTGATTTAGAAAAATATTAATTCTGTTTTCAAGGTAAAATATCAACATAAATTTGAAAAGTGGTATAACAGCATCGAAGAGTATAATAATCGATTGCCGTATAATTTCTGCATGTTGAGATACCGTACAGAAGCGGAAGATTTTTCCAGCCGCGATAACATGATCGATAATCGATATTCCTAAGTGTACATAACGTCAACTACTATTCATGCAACGCATTCTTCTTTGCATGTGAATGTTCATTAATACGTTGCTGTGCAAAGATAATTTGTCGACGTTTGTGAACCATGACCTCGTTTCGTTTTTTACCTTGACCTCTACCGAGATACTTTCTACTTCCTTTGCTTCTGTTTTATTTCCTGCTGCATCGTGGCAACTGTATTTCTCGATAATAAATCTGAAATTGTTTCAAATGAAATTCACTGCAAAAAATGATTGGACTATTCCTTCAAAATAAAAGCTACAGAAAATGATTTTATAATTTGTTTTAAATTAAATACACAGGAAATTTGTTTGAAATGAAATTCATTTGCAAAAAATAATTACAAGGTTTGTCAAATATCATTCAATGCAAAAAATGATTTTATAATTTGTTTTAAATTAAATACACAGGAAATTTGTTTGAAATGAAATTCATTTGCAAAAAATAATTTAAAAGTTTGTCAAATATTATTCAATGCAAAAAATGATTTAACAATTTGTTTAAAATTAAATACACAATAAATTTGTTTGAAATGAAATTCATTTACAAAAAATAATTTAAAAGTCTGTCATATACTATTCATTACAAAAAATGATTTAACAATTTATTCAAAATTAAACACACAGTAAATTTGTTTGAAATAAAATACATTTGCAAAAAATAATTTAAAAGTTTGTCAAATATCATTCAATGCAAAAAATGATTTAATAATTTGTTTAAAATTAAATACACAATAAATTTGTTTGAAATGAAATTCATTCACAGAAGATAATTTAAAAGTCTGTCATATACCATTCATTACAAAAAATGATTTAACAATTTATTTAAAGTTAAATACACAGTAAATTTGTTTGAAGTAAGATTCATTCACAAAAGATGATTTAAAAGTTAAATAGCAGTGGATTATTATAATTTAATGTACTATATAAAATCGTACATGTTTACATATATTTTAAATGGATTTTACAAGGAATTTCCTCGTTTACGAAACCGATATTAATACATCGAAAATTTCGTTTCGATTTGACCTTGGCAAATTCCTTCGTCTTCTGTTTATATAGCATCACTTTCCAAAGTATAGTATAGTAAGTTATGTCTACGCGAATTGTTGTGAAACTTTAATGGATTCTGTTTACACACTATTAGTAAGTCAAAGTTTTTAAATACTGTAAAATTTCAAATTTCTCATATGATATAAAATAATTATGTTTACGAACAATCTTGAAAATCAGTACTTCGTATAATATATTTAATAGTAAGTTTTAAAAACTGTATCCAATTAGATTATACAGTGTTTGTCTTAATAAGTTTTAGCTTTAATCCTAACAAATAATTGTATACAAAAAATATTTCTTAAGAAGTGCTAAGAAGAAAAGTTGTTCACTTTGAAAGACGCTCAGACACCATGACATCATCTTGACCTCGAGTGACACTGCAAGGTTATATTTTTCAAATGTAAAATAACAGCGTACTTGAGAGATGTAACTAAGAACATTTGCCATGAGGAAGTACAATACTTTTCATGTATAGAAAGTAGCAAAAAAATTTAGAATATTTCATAAGCTCATAAGATCAGGTGGTTATAAGAATTAATAAATAGAAGTTGAAGAATGTTAACACTGAACGTATGACCTTTAGAAGACTACTCAAGGTTAAGTTGATGTCACTATCCTTTAGCTTCTGAAAGTGACGAAGTTAACACTCCTTAGCACCTTTTCCAAGAAACAGATTCTCTGGGAAATATTCTGTTAGGACTGAAATAAACATTTTAAAATTTTACTAAGTAAGAAAATATTACTGTACTTTATATAAATATGATAAAATAGGTAATTAGGATTAAACTGCACGTATAATTTAAAGTTAGCTTGCACTTCCTAGCAGTGATTAGTTCTCAGCCTCCATCTTTCATCCAAGATTTTTTTCCTCAAATGGAAGGTAAATTTTTAAGAGATTTGTGAACTAAAAATCTGCCACTGCCACAATTTCCTTCAAAAAAGATTGTTCAAACCGAAAAATTGTCCACGAGTAAGTACTCTTCCAGCGTCCATGGGCATATAAGTCCATAACTGTTCTACATAACCTGCATGATCTGTCTCCGAATGTTCGACCCACAAAATGAATCAGCATCAGAAGAAACAAGGAAATCATCAATGTTAACGTGTATGTTCAATACTTAATACTCAAGAGTCAATGCATGCAACTCGACGTAACCTCCTAAAAAGACCTAAAAACGCATGCCAAGAGTAACAACGGTATGTGTACGAACCCAGTGACGTGTTTTACCGAGAACTGCTAACCGACCGAAAAATGGTATTTTGTTTCTTTTCGCCTGCAAAGATGATGGATCGTTAGAAAGTGTCGCGCCCGAAGGCAGAACTTTATGGACCTTTTGGCCGCGGTGGAAGCGGGAGACCGACAGTTTGGAGGATGCGGAAAGAGAGGAAGCAGATTCCATCAAGTCTGCCATGGATCCTTCGCCGACCTTCTGGCAGCCGCGGTGGAAGCGGGAGACTGACAGTTTAGAAGATACGGAAACAGAGGAAACAGACTCCACCGAATCCACGGAGCCTACGACGGTCTCTCCGCGCAACAAGAAGAAGAAACCAGATTCCACGACTCCAAAGCCAAGTGCTCCAACCCCGCCCAAACCTAAGTCTAGGAGGCGAATAAAGCCAACTACGGAAGCGACACCGGAATCGGAGGAGACGACGCCTAAACCCACGACCAAACCTCCTAAGCCTAAGAGACGAGCGAAGACACCTACAACTACTCCCGAACCAGATTCACCAGAAGATAGTGAGGCTACGCCTGAACCAGATAGCGAAGAAGATAGTGACACGACACCTAAGCCAGACTCTGAAGAGGACGAGGACACAACGCCTAAACCTAGCAAGCCTAAACCTAAGCCCAAGTCACCCAAGTCCAAGCCTAAGGCTCCTAAGCCTGACGAGCCTGAAGAGGATAATGATTCAACGCCTGAACCAGAGTCTGAAGAAGATGAGGACACAACACCTAAACCTAGCAAGCCTAAACCTAAGCCTAGGTCACCCAAGTCCAAACCTAAGGATCCTAAGCCTGACGAGCCTTCTGAAGAGGATAATGATTCAACGCCTGAGCCAGAGTCTGAAGAAGACAGCACAACACCTAAGCCAGACTCTGAGGAAGATGATGCGACACCCAAGCCGGACTCTGATGAGGATGATGACAAAACACCCGAGCCGGAGTCTGAAGAAGACACAACGCCCAAACCTAGCAAGCCTAAACCTAAGCCTCCATCTAATAAGCCCAAGTCACGCAAACCAGCATCCAAACCTAAGACTCCTAAGCCTAGCGAGCCTTCTGAAGAGGATACAGATGTAACGCCTGAGCCAGATTCTGAAGAAGATAGCACAACACCTAAGCCAGATTCTGAAGAGGATGATGACACTGAGCCAGAGTCTGAACAAGATGAGGACACAACGCCTAAACCTAGCAAGCCTAAACCTAAGCCCAAGTCACCCAAGTCCAAGCCTAAGACTCCTAAGCCTGACGAGCCTTCTGAAGAGGATAATGATTCAACGCCTGAGCCAGAGTCTGAAGAAGATGATGACATAACACCTAAGCCAGATTCTGAAGAGGATGATGACACAACACCTAAGCCAGATTCTGAAGAAGATGACACAACGCCCAAACCTAACAAGCCTAAACCTAAGCCTCCATCTAATAAGCCCAAGTCACGCAAGCCAGCATCCAAGCCTAAGGCTCCTAAATCTAACAAGCCTCCTGAAGATGATGATGACAAAGCACCTGAGCCAGATTCTGAAGAAGATAGCACACCTAAGCCAGACTCTGAGGAAGATGATGCGACACCCAAGCCGGACTCTGAAGAGGATGATGACGAAAAACCTGAGCCGGAGTCTGAAGAAGATGACACAACGCCCAAACCTAACAAGCCTAAACCTAAGCCTGCATCTAATAAGCCCAAGTCACGCAAACCAGCGTCCAAACCTAAGGCTCCTAAGTCTAACAAGCCTTCTGAAGAGGATGACAAAACACCTGAGCCAGAGTCTGAAGAAGATGATGACACAACACCTAAACCAGACTCTGAAGAGGATGATGACACGAAACCTGCGCCAGAGTCTGAAGAAGATGATGACACAACACCTGAGCCAGAATCTGAAGAAGATGACACAACGCCCAAACCTAGCAAGCCTAAACCTAGGCCCACATCTAACAGGCCCAAACCTAAGACTCCTAATTCTAACAAGCCTTCACCGAAACGATCTCCTTCCGATGATTCCGATAAGCCTCCCAAATCAGAGCAACCGAAACCAACTAGAAAGCCTGCGTCGCCTAAACGGAAGCCCAGCTCTGATCCAAATGACGAATCGGACGAGTCGGAGCCGTCGACCTCTCCACCTAACAAACCTGCATCGCCAAAACGAGCTCCCACGTCCAATTCACCTCGCAAACCTGCGCCCAAACAAACACCTACGCCTAAACCCACGACGCCGAAGAAGCCGAGTGACTCGCCATTGCCTTCGTTCAATGCTCGCTTCGGTCCATTCGATGATGATTTTGGGATATCGGTAGACATGCCTGAAGAGCCCACTCAGAAGCCTATGTCAGGACCGAGTCCTACGTCAGGACCGAATCCCATGTCAGGACCGAGTCCTACGACAGGACCGAATCCTACGTCAGAACCGAATCCCATGTCAGGACAGAATCCTATGTCAGATCCAACTCTAATAATATCTACAAATCCTGTAAACCTTCCACCCTTCACGTTCCCTACGTTCGGCAACCCCGGAGATTTCATGCCATTTAATCCATACAATTTCTTCAATCATTACGGTTTACCTAACCCAAATTCCATACCCACTCCGGGTAATTTTGAGGGGCCTGGATCGAACGATGGAGGAGCTGCAGATGCTGGAGCGTTCGCTTCGGCTTCTGCTTCTGCCTCTTCGACCGCTGGAGCTTCCGATACTAGTTATAACAATCCGATGTCTTTTAGTTTTGGCGGAGGATTTGGTGAAAGCTTAGCCAACATAGCCAACACGGCCAACGAACCAAATATGGTTAACCCGGAGATACCCCAGTTTCCAGGAGGTAATGTTTTGTGAAAGGACACTTGAGTTCGGGATTGTTTGTCTGCTGGGTGATCAAGTGGATGTGATGATTTTAGTTTTGGGAAATTGATAGGGTTGTTACTGTTATAATTATTTGAAATAGCAGGTCTGAGAGGTGTTGAACGTGAGATCATGAGATCTTCATCTTTTGAGGCACTTTAGGTTTAAGTTTACACATCTTGCTTTGGGAAGGATTTGGGGAGGCTTCACAAATTTTTGTGGATTGAAACCAGCTTTTGATTATGATGATTCTTCTTATACTGATATTTGGATTACTTTTCAAAGTCCTGAAGTTTCAAGATTCTCAAATAAAAAATTTTCCTAAGTCCCTCTATGGTCCCAATTTAGTACACCTACATTTCTAACATCCCTATATTTTTTTACAGGTCAACCATTTGACCACAGCTCCTTTGCATTCCCTGGTTACAATTTCCAAGATTTCCAAAAGCAAATGGAGGAGAATTTCAAACGTCTTCAAGAGCAGCAACAAGCGTACGTTTAAACTCGCTTATTAGGATGATATAATTGTTGTTATATAGTATATATACCAGAATAATAATTATCTTACATATGTTCTTAATATGTGTACATGTATGCTCTATGCAGGATCTTTGACGCCACAAACCGCATCGGCGATGCTGGTTCTATTCCTGGTGCACACACTGCTTTTTCTAGCATCAACCTAGGACCTGAAGGTGGATTTCAAGCTGGCGCAATTAATCCGGTAAGTCTCGAAAATTTATATATATGCTTATGTGATAATATGTAATGGTATGATATGTGGATACATTTGGATCTATAAGAACCTACCACTTAGAAATTCAATGTATGCTGATATAATGCATAGAAATATGTACAATGTATAGTAATCTATCGCTGAGTAATCTAGTATGCAATAACGCAACGCGTAGTAATTTAACTGGTAATAATTCAACGAGTAGTAATCAGATATGTGGTAATCTAGCGGGTAGTAGTCTAACGCGTGGAAATTTAACACGTAGGGTTCCAATGCGTGGTTATCCACCGCGCTGTAGTCGAATGATTAAAACTCCAATGCGTAGAAATCTAACGTATAGGAATCTAACGCGTAGTAATCTAATGTGCAGTAATCTAGCGCGTAGTAATTTAGCGTACAGTAATCGAACGCGTTATAATGTAACGCGTGAGAATGTAACGCACTCGGTAATCCAACGCGTGGTAATCTATCATGTAGTGATCTAACGCGTAGTAATCTAATGTGCAGTAATCTAGCGCGTAATAATTTAACGCACAGCAATCTAACGCGTTGTAATGTAACGCGTGAGTATCTAACGCACTCGGTAATCTAACGCGTGGTGATCTAGCGCGTAGTAATCTAACTTGCAGTAATCTGACACGTAGTAATCTAACGTGCAGTAATCTAGCGCGTAGTAATTTAACGCATAGCAATCTAACGCGTTGCAATGTAACGCGTGAGTATCTAACGCATTCGGTAATTTAACGCGTGGTAATCTATCATATAGTGATCTAACGCGTAGTAATCTAGCGCGTAATAATTTAACGCACAGCAATCTAACGCGTTGTAATGTAACGCGTGAGTATCTAACGCATTCGGTAATTTAACGCGTGGTAATCTATCATATAGTGATCTAACGCGTAGTAATCTAGCGCGTAATAATTTAACGCACAGCAATCTAACGCGTTGTAATGTAACGCGTGAGTATCTAACGCATTCGGTAATTTAACGCGTGGTAATCTATCATATAGTGATCTAACGCGTAGTAATCTAGCGCGTAATAATTTAACGCACAGCAATCTAACGCGTTGTAATGTAACGCGTGAGTATCTAACGCATTCGGTAATTTAACGCGTGGTAATCTATCATATAGTGATCTAACGCGTAGTAATCTAGCGCGTAATAATTTAACGCACAGCAATCTAACGCGTTGTAATGTAACGCGTGAGTATCTAACGCATTCGGTAATTTAACGCGTGGTAATCTATCATATAGTGATCTAACGCGTAGTAATCTAGCGCGTAATAATTTAACGCACAGCAATCTAACGCGTTGTAATGTAACGCGTGAGTATCTAACGCACTCGGTAATCTAACGCGTGGTGATCTAGCGCGTAGTAATCTAACTTGCAGTAATCTGACACGTAGTAATCTAACGTGCAGTAATCTAGCGCGTAGTAATTTAACGCATAGCAATCTAACGCGTTGCAATGTAACGCGTGAGTATCTAACGCACTTGGTAATTTAACGCGTGGTAATCTATCATATAGTGATCTAACGCGTAGTAATCTAACGTGCAGTAATCTGACGCGTAGTAATCTAACGTACAATACTTTAAAATGCAGTAACTCAACGCGAGACAATCTTACACACAGAAATTTAACAAGCAATAATTCAACACATAACCATACAACGCATAGCGATCCACGGCAATATAACGCGTGGCCATATAATAAAAGTATCGGAAATAACGTTGTTAAAATTTTTTTTAGGTTGCACCAGGAGTAGAATCAAGATTCGGTGAACAGCTTCCACCGCCATCTGGAGGAACTTACGGTGTATTCTCAAGTTCGAGTTCCCACAGCATGACCGGACCGGACGGTAAAACGGTCTCCCGCAAAGTAGCAACCACAGGGGTGAATGACAACGGAAAAATTACTTTCCGCACCGTTGAAGAATAAATGCCTTCATTAACACTGACAATCGAATTAACGGAACATGTGCCCTTTTTATTCCTTTTTATAAACAAAGGTCCTCTGTAACTCAGGGTTATAAATAAGATTACTAAGCTTGCCAAATATGCTAGATAAATACTCATATTGTTTAGGTGAAAATCAAAAGGTGAAATAGATATTATTTCGACGATTAATCAAGTTATCGTAGACCGAGTTTAATGTTAAAGGCACATATGTGAATTATTTTAAAGAGCTTAAATTATTAGTGGCAATTAGTTTACTTAATATGGTACATTTCTGCACATATTTAAATTTTATTTGTCCAAGATATTAAATTTCCATGTTACATATTTTTGTTCTCTTTTTATAGAAAAAAGATTAATATTGTTGTAATAAAAATTGTATTTAATTAAATTCGACAATGCTTGCAATGTGAAAGTAAAGTTACTTTTTATTAGTTAGAGTAAGTTTTAGTAGTTAAGTACCTTCGTTAACCCTTTGTAGGTAAGACGGCCTTTTTCCAGCCAATCTTAATTATTTCACTTTTAAAATATTTATAAAATTTACTTAATAATATTTCTAATAAATACATTTTACAATCATATTGGTCCAGTGTTTAAAATATTTTCTAGTACGAATTTAAGTCTCCGTAGAAGTAAAATAATTGTATTATTTTGACGATGAGAAAGAAAACAATTGCGGAGGTACGAGATTAATCCGGTTAGTATGCCTCGGCACATTTTCACTGTAAATCGTCGTAACCTAAGTGGGTAAAATTGTAACGCCGCTTTTATTGAAAGAACCCTCGTGCGCGAAAGAGGAAGACACTCAGGGTCAATGAATGACACATGTTGCTCTTTCGACGCGAGAATTACTGCTCTAAAATGCACCCCGCCTCGGTGTATCATCGCATCCAGCACGTGGGGATTAAAGTGGCTTTAAATCCCCCTATTTACATCTATACAGTATTTGCCTAAGCCTCTGTGCAAATGAAGAGACGAGGAAGATCATTGAAATTCATTAAAACTCCCTTCTGACATCAATACTCACCCTCGCATGTTCTTTTACTTTCATTTGAAGAAATTATTAAAAGGTGCAATTGTACGCTTAAGGGTAGTACAATTTGTGAAGTATATTGTTTTAAGGAATTTAGGGGATGATGTTGGACTTTAGTAATATTTGAACTATGTAAATAATTGTCATCAGTAAGCTTTAACCCTCAATATTAAAATTCATTTCACAATTCCTACGTTAAAATTATAAATGTTCAATCACTTTAATTAATCCAAGTTGTATTAATAATAAAAGTTACAATAAATATCTTCACCACTAGCACCCTCTTACAGTTCCAATCAATTTACACTAATTGAACAATCTCAGTCCAAACTGTATACAATAAAAATTACAATAAATATACTAACTTGAATACTACAATAAACTTCATGTTGCACATCTGCACATAACAGTAACAATCAAAATTATAAAAAGATTCGAGAAAAGTGTAAATAATTTATAACTGGAGATTCTTTATTAGCCGACAGAGAATCAGACGTAGAAGTCATCCGTCATTTTAAACAAGACGTCAGGGGCGACACCATTAATTTTGTCACCCGATGTTCCCGGCCCGGGGTGCACAAATTACAAGACTCGTTTACGAGGCGATATCTCACGATTTGATAAACGGTTTCCGAGAAAACAAAAACTCTTTTGGCGCCGTGTTCTCCCTCCTCTGTTGCTTCAACCAGCCTGGAATCGCCGAAAATAGCTCGCTCGTAGAGTCTCGTTGCCACCGTCGCGAAAGAAGACATGTTCACAAGGAACGAGTAACAGCAACATCGTTTATCAGTCAATTTATTGTTATAATAACGTCCGTGATTTGTACATTATATCGTTCTTCACTGACCTCTCTCCTTTATTTATATACACTATTCGTTTGCATTTATAATTAACGTGGATATATGTATGTACAAAAGTAGAAAAATTGGCACACTCGAAACACACGTGGCAAGCGAAGAACATATCACATCAGTCGAAAAATTTCGAACAATACGTTCGATCGGTGGAACCTTCCTGAGTACGAAATTGGCAGTTCAGGTTTTGGCAGTTTTATGGACAGTTCATTGATTACGTGGGGGGACATTTACAGTCAAAATGGAAGCTATATTACAGGTTTCTAAAGCTTAACGATTACTTTGAAATTGGTCTTGTACAATTGGGTGCAAGGATTTATAGAATTTGTGAGATTTTATGTTGATTATTTAGTTTTTAGATTCTTTCATTTTGGGGGATTTGGAGTTTGAAGTATTCAAATTTACAAATTGTTTAATGTACTAAGCTCTTGTGAAATTTCTTATGACACTATATTCCCCAATCCTAAAATATCCAGATTAGAGAATGCTTAAATTTAAATTGTTAGATTCCCAAATCCTCAAAGTACCAAATTGATAAATTTCCAAATTCTCAAACTACCAAATTGACATATGTTAAATTCCCAAACTACCAAATTGACAAATGTTAAATTCTCAAGTGTCCGAATCTCCAAATCTCCAAATCCCATGTCCCCAAATCCCTATGTCTCCAAATTTCCAAATCCCCAAATCCCTAAATCTCCAAATTTAAAAATGTCAAATCTCCAAGCCCCCAAAATTAAAAATGTCAAATCTCCAAATCCCCAAATACCATGTCCCCAAATCTCTATGTCTCCAAATCCCCAATTCCCCATATCCCTAAATCCCCAAATTTAAAAATGTCAAATCTCCAAGTCCCCAAATCCCATGCCCCCAAATCCCTATGTCTCCAAATCCCTAAATCTCCAAATTTGAAAATGTCAAATCTCCAAGCCCCCAAATTTTAAAATGTCAAATCTCCAAGCCCCCAAATTTAAAAATGTCAAATCTCCAAGTCCCCAAATTTAAAAATGTCAAATCTCAAAATCCCCAAATCCCATGTCCCCAAATCCCCAAAACTCCAAATTTAAAAATGTCAAATCTCCAAATCCCCAAAACTCCAAATTTAAAAATCTCCAAATTCCCAAATTAAAAAATGTAAAACCTCCAGTTCCCCAAACCCCAAATCCCCAAACAAAACCCTTCACAAAACCGTCAAAATAAATACTATCCCTACATCAACTACTGCACCCAATTGTACTGAACACTGACGACTTACACCCATCGCTACACCTACACTGTAGAAGATCTCGTAAATCTATTTTTCTACAAAATAAGGAACTACATACTTTCTAGTCAGGTCAAATACTCGACTTTTCTGCGGGCTTAAAAATGACTTTCTTTAAGTACTACTATTATGTACACGTACTCCCGGCACTTTTCGCTTCCATGTTTCTTTTTTTATACATCGTTAAGGTTCAAACGTATCTGGTCAATTGAGTATGAAAATCTTGAAGACAAACGATCAGCTGACTAAACGTTGGTCTCTCGTCCGCGGACATTGCCCAACAATAAGCCATAACTGCGAACAACTCGTCGGGACAATTTATTGGCTGGGCCAATCTATATCCATCTCGGAGATAGGAAGCCATTTCGAATGCATCAACTTCCACGTATGGTTGCTGTGCCAGCGTTGTTAGCTCCCATAACAGAACACCGAATGCCCACTGAAAATCAAATCAATTCTCATTAATTCGTAGCTTTGGTATATATTTCACTTTTTGTTCTGATTTATAGAGTGAGGCATTTTTATTTATTAAGCTACTCAATTATTAGCAACTTCAATTATTAGATTTCAAATTTTTCTAGTAATTTAGGATGTTAAAGTTATTCTTAAACTTCTAGATGATCAAATCCTTTCTTTTCAAATTATGAAACTTGTAAATAAATATTTGAACAAATTTATTTAGTCGAACTTAATACCTTGCTAATATCAAATACTTTGCTATTATAAAACATTAATGGGAGTAATTTTTGACAAAATTAATGATTACTTTCCTTGACAATATTGTGAATTATTTGCAGTTTAAAAAATGTGATTTCAATAAAATATGTTATTATACAAAAGTTCTCAAATAAAAATTTTTAAGTAATCTCTTAATACCAGAGGAAATATAGAATTACTAGAGGAGTGATGAAAATATTAAGTACAATATCAAGATGAAAATTTACTCACCACATCGGAAGCAGTGCTGAACGTTTTATTGAGTAAACTTTCAATGGCGAGCCACTTAATGGGACGATTTTCATTGTCACCAAGACAATGATAATCTTGGGGGAACAGGTCTCTGGCCAGAGCATTGTCCGTGATTTGAACCCTCAGATCATCGTCGACGCTAATAAAATCCAAAGAGCGCTCGTTAAACGTCTTGAATGCGTACTCGACCACTGATACGAATAAAGCAATCGCGGAGTTGCTTTAAATCTGTCGAGTGTTTTGCGAGTTAACACGCAAAAACTCGCTTAAAAGCGCGTTAAACAGTATTGGAGCAATCTCGGTGAGAAAAACCAGTGTTGCTCGTAATTACTCACGAAACAGCGTCTTTATTGCTAATTAAAGCCGCGCGGTCAATTAATTTCGTAATGAAATGTTACGACTTTGGGTTTCGAGTGTACTGAGCGTGATCTTCTTTGGGAAAAATGGTAGTAGGTGATTTACGGTTGTGGAATTTCTGTCGTTAGAAATTTGGAAGATGGGAAGTTGGAAATTAGGGAATTAGGGAATTAGGGAATTAGACAATTTAAGAATTGGGGGATTTAGAAATTGTAGAATTTAGAAGTTAAGGGATTTAGGAATTGGGAAGTTCAGAAATTGGGAATGTGGGAATTGGGGAAGGTAGAAATCAGCAAATGTTGGAATTGCGGAATGAGGGAATTGGAGAGTGTTGAAATTGGGGAATGTGGGAATTGGGGAGTGTTGGAATTAGGAAATGTGGAAATTGGGGAATGTTGGAATTGCGGAATGTTGGAATTGAGGAGTGTTGGAATTGGGAAATGTTGGAATTGGGGAATGTGGAAATTGGAGAAGGTGGGAATTGGGAAATGTGGAAATTGGGGAATGTTGGAATTGGGGAATGTTGGAATTGAGGAATGTTGGAATTGGGGAATGTGGAAATTAGAGAATGTGGGAATTGGGGAATGTTGGAATTGGGGGATGTAGAAATTGGGGAATGTGGGAATTGGAGATTGTGGGAATTGGGGAATGTGTGAATTGGAGAATGTGGGAATTGGGAAATGTGGGAATTGGGGAATGTGGAATTGGGGAATGTGGAAATTGGAGAATGTGGGAATTGGGGAATGTTGGAATTGCGGGATGTAGAAATTGGAAAATGTGGGAATTGGGAAATGTGCAAAATTGGGGAATGTTGGAATTGGTGAATGTTGGAATTGCGAAATGTGGGAATTAGGGAATTGAGGAATATCTGTAAATGCTTCCAGTCAATATTAATTTACTTACACGCAATTCCTAGCCGCCAAATCTCTGTGTACCAGTCTTTTCCTATGAAGATATTGGACTCCTTTAGCAGCCTGAAGAGCCATTTCTACAACTTCTTGCGTGGTTAGTGCTCGCGGTGGGCCTTCGCTACTTAACTTGCACCTCAGCAAGAACCTCTTCATGTTCTTATAACCAGTGTGAGGGTACAACAGAAAAGGCGCGCTTCTGTCCTCGATAGAAACACCCAAAACGGGCAGCAAGGCTGGATGACTCAAACCGTATAACGCTAAACCTTCTCGTAACAGCAGAGCAACCTTCGAATGCAAATTGGGCAACTTGACAATTTTTTATTTTTTCATATTTTTCTGTAAAACTTTAATAAACCAAAAAATCTAAAAATCTGAAAATGTAAGAATCTAAAAATCTAAAAGTTTAAAAACAGCAAAATCTTAAAAATAAAACTTTCCAAATTTTTGCTAATCCAAAGCAATATATTTCCACCCCAAAAAAAAATCCGCCAAAAATTGAATACGAGCAAGGAAAGTGGTAATGCTCGTACAACAGCGTATAAACAGCGTACAAGGATAAAGATTATTACTCACCTGCGATTGTGATGCATGCTCGGCAGCAGTTTTCACTAGGACATCCCTCGGGGAAGACGCACCCTCTTCATGATAACTGCCTCTATACACGCGACCAAATGTGCCCTCCATTTCGATGCTGAGAAGGCGTACCCTGCATCTGTAACAAGTACGAAACATAATTATAATTCAGTCTTCGTGACTCGTTTATCCGCGAAACCACTATGTAATTATTCTATACGAGCATCCAATATCTTGTTGCACGAAATTACGGGCTGATTAACTGTTGGGTAGAGTTTTCAGAATTGAAAAGTTGTTAACGCGTTGCAAATTTGAGCGGAGATAAGTATCTTGTTAGGGAGAACGCAAGATGGTGTCCGATTTTTTGTAGTAGGTCTTGGGTTAATGTGAGTATTAGCGTTGACAGCAGCAGTTAGTTTTTTTGTTAATATAGGGTTAGTATTGGTAGGAGGATTAATTATGTTAGGATTAGTATTTGAAGGAGAATGTAAAATTGTGTTTCGTTTTTTGTAGTAGTGGATTTTATGTTAGTATTAGTGTTATAATGCTTATAGTGTTAGTATCAGTGTTGGTGTTGATACTAATAGTGTTAGTATCAGTGTTAGGGTTGATACTAGCATTAGTAGTTATGTTAATATGGGGTTAACATATTAGAAATAGTATATAAGTTGATACGATGATTAGTGTTAGTATCAGTATTATAATAAGTATTAGTATCACTATTAGCATTACTAGTCATGTTAATATGGAGTTAACATATTAGAACTAGAATTTATAATAATAGTAAGATTAGCGTAAGTATTAGTGTTAGACAATATTAATATTAACAGAATTTCAGTGTCAGCGTTAGTACTAATACTAGATTTTGTCAACACGCTCATAGTTAGTATTAATACTAACATGAGCGTTAGTATTAATATCAACAATAGACACATGGTAGTACTTCCACTACAATTAGTGATACCACCCTTGACACTAAATTGCAATTAGCATTAGTATTAGCCTTAATACCAAATTAGCGTTAGTATCAAGTACCTTTGAACCGTGATCTCCTGAATTCTCTCATGTAACTCTCGACTAGGCCGATCATCCAGTCTCCTATAGGTCGAAGTAGACGTTGCAGAAGTAGGTGGAGGAGTTTCAGGAGACAAAAATGTCTGTGCAGGTCCAACTCCCGTCCCTCTTTCCACACTGCACGCTGAACTAAGTCCTCTAGACTCTCTATAAAAACATATTGTACACATTACACATACCTACATTTCACATATAATGCCTTCAAAAGTTTCTCAAAAATAATGACCCTAAAAATAAATAACACGCGAGAAGAAACTTGACATATAATTTACAATATCTCTTTCTAATATCTTACAGTTATTTAAGATTCCAACTTTAATTGAAAAGAGCAAATAAGATGAAGAAGACCATAAGTAAAAAGACACTCACTGAAGTGGATCACGATGTCTCCTAGTCTTTTTGTCCCGGACATAGTAAGCAATCACGAGGACAAAGATGGCGGCGATGAAAGCACACGCGCAACCGATCGCGGCGTAAAACACTTGTCCGCCGGAAGTTGATCCAGAGGCGGCCACAAGAATCTCTTCAGCTCCGATGTTACTCTTGTCTTTCAAGCAGATTTTCTTCCGTTTGAAGTCTAAGCTGGTGGTGTTCCGTCTCGATGGAGTGGAGACGTTTATCCGAAGGCTTAGGTCGACTTCGGCGTCGTAAGGGCCGCAATGCAAAGCCAAAGCCCAAGTTTGAAGACCGCCGAATGGTATTTCTCCGGCTTGAGATATGTTCAGGGAACTGGTTAAAGCCGACGGATTACTGATATCCACTGTCATTGTGTATGGGAGCTGGAAAAGATTCATATGATCAAATTTATGAGTGGATATACTTGAAGGACTTTATTGAATGATTACTGAAGTGTCTTATAAAATGATTACATATTAGACAATTTTTTATATGAACTACATCAATGGATGATTATTGAAGTGTCTTATAAAATGTTTATATATTAGACAACTTTTTATATGAACTACATCAGTGGATGATTACTGAAGTGTCTTATAAAATGTTTATATATTAGACAACTTTTTATATGAGCTACATCAGTGGATGATTACTGAAGCGTCTTATAAAGTGTTTATATATTAGACAACTTTTTATATGAGCTGCATCAGTGGATGATGATTGAAGAGACTTATAAAATGTTCATATATTAGGCAATTTTTTATATGAGCTACATCAGTGGATGATGATTGAAGTGTCTTATAAAATATTTATATATTAGATAATTTCTTGTATGAACTACATCAGTGGATGATTACTGAAGTGTCCTATAAAATGTTTATATATTAGACAATTTTTTATATGAACTAAGTTAATGGATGATGATTAAAGAGACTTGTAAAATGTTCATATATTAGGCAGTTTTTTATATGCACTACATCAGTGGACGATGATTGAAGGGATTTATAAAATGTTCATATATTAGACAGTTTTTTATATGAACTAAGTCAATGGATGATGATTAAAGAGACTTGTAAAATGTTCATATATTTGACAATTTTGTATGTGAACTACATCAGTAAATGATGATTGAAGCGACTTGTAAAATGTCCATATACTTGGCAGTTTTTTACATGGACCACATCAGTGAATGATAATTAAAGTGGTTTGTATAAGATACATATATATGGCAATTTTTTATATGAACTACATCGGTGGATGATAATTGAAGTGTCCTGCAAAATGTTCATATTTTTAGCAATTTTTTATTTGGACCAAGTCAATGGATGATAATTGAAGTGACTTATATAATTGGTACACACATGTGGTACTTTCCAATTTGAGCTAAATCAGTGGATGATTATTGAAGTGCCTTATAATTGGTACATACATGCGATACTCTTCAATTTGACCTAAATCAGTGGATGATTATTGAAGTGACTAGTAAGTGGTTCATACATGACAATTGTAAAGTTAAGCTGAATTAATGAACAATAAATGAAGTAGCTTATATTGAATAAATTTGACAAATTTGAGATAAATGAATAAATGAGTAATTTGAGATAAATGAGTGAATAATTAAAGCCTCCTATTGTGTATAAAAGCAGTGTATATTTTTATCTCGATATAAATAGTTAAGAAAGGCTATAAAAAACGAAGAGAAGAGATGACAAGGGTGATACAAACGATGACAAATTATTTCCTTATCAGAACACCGAACCGACTGTGCCACAGTGAAGAGGCTAAAAGAGAAAAAAAACCCGCAAAGTTGAAGGATGCAAGACTATTAAAGAACTATTAAAAAAGAGAACAAGAGATCGCAAGAGTGATATAAACGGCGGAAATTATTTTCTTATCAGAGCACCGAACTGTACCATCGCAGCAACGAAAAGAGAATAAAAACAGGTACAAAGTTGAAGAGGCAGAAGCATAAAAAAAGAGTATACGAGATCGTAAAAGTGATACAAACGAGAAATTATTTTCTTATCAGATCACCGAACCGACTATACGTAACATCGAGTAGAGAATAAAAGAGAGAGAAAAAAAAAAGTGGCACAAAGTTGAAAGACGCAAAGGATGAACTGCTACCGCTTGTTCGTAATCACGCGAACGTTGAACCTTCTTATAATCTGAAACGTTCCATTCTCGGAAGACAATTTGCGCCCAGCGGAGGGCAAAGTAAATCTAGAGAACCGCAGGCAAGAGAAACCAGAGAAAGAGAACGAGGAGCAAATAGAAAGAAGGAACGGCAAAAGTGGCAAAGCGAAGAAGAAAAGAAGTGACTAGACACAGAGAGGACGCTTTGCCACTGCACTTTGCCGATTCCCCTCTACGTAAATTGTGGTACGATTGACGACGTCGATAACGTCGGTAATTGTCGGTAAGTATCATTTCCCGGGAAACAATCATGTAATTATCATTTTCTATACGGGATAGATTCCAGTTTAAATGAGACCGCCAATTAATTGCTATCGGATCGTTTATGTGTTGAAATTACGGAGAGAGTTGTGCATTTTATTACGTGAGAACAGTTTGTTTATTACGTCACTGAATTTTGAATCTTGGGAGGTCACGAATTTTTGGTGAGTCGATTTTTGTTTGGGATATTGATACTTGTTGGTGTTAGTATTAAGGGTTAAGGTTAGGGTCAGTATTAAGATTAGGATTAGATTTGATAGCGGTAGTGTTAATATTAGTGTTAGTATCAGGGTATTAGCGTTAGAATCATTTGTGCTAATATTAGGGTTAATATTAGGGTTAATAATAGGGTTAGTGTTAGTATTAGGGATAGCGTTAGCTTTGTTGGTATTACTAGTGTTATTAGCGTTAATATTAAGGTTAGTGATAGTATCAAGGTTAGAACCCTTGTTAGTAGCATTACTGTTAATATTAGTATTAGTGCTGATAATAACACTGGCATCAGTAGTACTAATATTGATCAATAGAATTAGTATTAGTATTGGCAATATTAGTATTAAAAATATAATATTAGTACTATTAGTGTTAGTACTAATGTTAGGGTCAGTGGCAGTGTCAGTATTAATATTAATGTTAGTTTTAATATCAGCACTAATATTAGTATCAGTGCGATTAGTGTAACATTAATATTAGTGTTATTATTAGTATTAATATAGATGTAGTATCTGAATTAGTGTTAGTATTAATATTAACACTGTTATTATGAATCATTAAGGATACCAGTAACACAAATATTAGTATTGCCATTAGCGTTAGTACAACTGGTAGCTTTAGTTTCAATGTTACCATTAGTGTTAGTATTAGTACTAGCATTAGTTGTATCAATGGCTAATGTTAGTGATAGTAGTACTGATAGTATTAATGTTAGTACTAGCGTTACTATTAGTGATAGTATTAATGTCACTACTAGTGTTAGTATTAGTGTTAGTATTATCCTTGCTATCAATGGCTAATGTTAGTGATAGTATCAGCATTACTAATAGTATTAATGTTAGTACCAGCGTTACTATTAGTGAGAGTATTGATGTCACTACTAGCGTTAGTATTAACCTTGCTATCAATGGCTAATATTAGTGATAGTATCAGCATTACTGGTAGTATTAATGTTAGTACCAGCGTTACTATCAGTGATAGTATTAATGTCACTACTAGTGATAATATTAGTGCTAGTACTAACGTTACTAATAGTGTTAGTATTATCATTGACATCACCAAAAATATTACTGTTGCTCCTATCATTACTAACACTGATATCACTAATGTCAGTACCACCAACTTATCCCCATAACTTAAAATTTTACCAACAATAAATCATAATTCCAAAACACTCAAAACAATCCAAATACCAACCCATCAAAAAAACCCGCCCAAAAACAATAAAAACCAAAAACGATTATACAAACTCAAGTTATAAAAAGAAATATTCAATATCCCCGGTCCGTCCCATCGATAATTTACAGCCGGCAACTTATCTGCCATTTAAAAATTCTAAGTAAAGGATTCTTTTTCACACGATACGTTCGTAAAAATGTCACGGTATCTCGTCGTCCGACAAGTTTCTCGCGAAATGTCAGGCAGTTACGAGGCGCTCAGAAAATGAAAGAGAAAAAGCATCATACGAAAAAACGACATCTGAAAAAAAGATTGTGGACAGTTTAAATCGAATGGTTAGCCGGTTTTTTACCGAGGTATTCACTGTCGGCACGTAGTTCGTGGTCGTAACTGATCTCCACGTGGAATTAGCGGTGTTAGGTTAGACTGGTAGCGACAAACCAACAGGTTGACGAGCTACCTTTTCTCGCGACTTGAAAACCGATCATCAGAAACTTGCCGATCAACTACAAGTTTTTTCAATCATTTGTTCAATCATTTTTGTATGATGATATTTTTTTGAAGAATTTCTTTTTGTATGGTCTGATGGCTAGAGTTAGGAATGATTGATTAGAGAGTGGTCTAATAAGAGGAGGGAAATGGTACTCTGGAATGAATTAGTGATTCAGGTTTTATCTTACGACACTTCTATTTATTTTTAAAAAATATTTTAACAGTTATAAATTATTGAAGGTGTTGAAATTATCAGAATATTCAATAATTATTAAATATAACAGTTTGGTACTTTGAGGGTTAAAATGTATCTACCTCATTATTTCAATAAGTTTACCCAATGAAAAGTTAGACAAAAATTAAAATAATTATTAAAACAATAATTAGTAAATATTGTAACAAATACTAAACATTATTAAAAACAATCAAAAGTATTAAAATTATTAAAAGTTCCTAATAATTATTAAATGAAATCTTGTAAAATGTATTTAACAAAATAAAAAAATAAATGTAATCGTAACAGTTTAATTAAGTAGAAGAAAAATGAAATAGTTGCAGAGGTATTCGATGAATTTGTCGGAAGGACTGAAAAATCGTGAGTTTGATTGGCAGGTGGTCGATTCGCCTAAGTAGCATTCGGAACACTCGGTTTTGTCACGGAGGTGACGGATGTCCCGACGTTGGTCATCAGTCTCCGACTTTCGCCTCCTTCTTCAGCCTCGTCCTTCCAACGAGACAACTCGAAGAAGTGGCTGGACCACTTTGTCCTACTCTTGGATCTGTTGTATCCTCTTTTTTTTCTGCACATCGTCGACGAGTCAATCCAACACCGTGTCGCATTCTACCCACTTTTCGTCGGCACTTTGTCAAAGTACATACTTTCAACCTCAACGAGAACGCACAGGCAAAAAAATTTACCCACGAGAACACTGATTCATTCAATTCGTATCGTGACTCCATTCGAGTTCTTACGATGGATTGGATGTTTTTGAAATTGCTACGTAATCGACTGTTGTGTTCACTTATTTTGAATCATATGTAGTGTTGTATGTGATGTTCTTTGTTTTGGGCGATCGATTTAAAGAGTCTGTGAATTTTGGAAGGCCTGAAATATTTTATTATCAAATTTAAAATTTTTACAAATTCTTAATTTTCAAATTTTTAATTTTTACAAATTTTTAATTCTCAAGTTTCAAATTTCTCCAAATTCTGAATTCTCAAATTTCAAATTTCTCCAAATTCTAAATTCTCAAATTTCAAATTTCTACAAACTCTTAATTCTCAAATTTCTACAAACTCTTAATTCTCAAATTTCAAATTTCTCCAAATTCTAAATTCTCCAATTTAAAATTTCTACAAATCCTTAATATTGAAATTTGTAACTTTGCAAATTTCCAAACTATCCAATAACTACGTTCATAATCAAAAAGGAAGTTCAGGCAGTATTGACCAGAAGTTATCCGGATTATCGAGGCATGACGGTGCTTCCTGTTTCGCAGAATCGCGTTACAAAGCACCGTCATCCACGATTACCCGACATTTTAGCGAAATGAATTTACCAAGACGAGCCTCGAATCGTTTCTGTTCAATGGTTCTTGAAGAAATCTTTAATAATCGCGACTCTTCTTCTTACGGATTTAGATTAATCTTTTATGCTGAGCAAGACGTTTGATATAAGACGGAAAGAAATATGAAAGCAATATAACGTTAAATGTTTATGACTTCCTTTTTATTTTACGTTTTATATACAGCACCAGCCTCTAAGAGACAGCAAAGAAGATATTCATTTATGGATCTGTGGATGTAATTGAACTTTTTTGTTTCAAGTTTTAATATTGCAAAATAATTTACTTTTTACATTTCTACACTTCTATATTCATTAATTTCTGAATACGCAGGTTCTTGAAGTTTATGACATTCAAATTTTGTTGTTTAAAAAATTTTTTGGTCTAGAAATTCTTACATGTTTAGATTAATGAAGCAGAAAATATCTAAACTTCTATGTCTGTAGATCCACAAATATTCAAGTCCCCAACTAGCCAAATCCCCAAATCCCCAAATCCCCAAATTCCCAACTCCCCAAATACCCAAATCTCCAGCTCCCAAAATCCCCAAGTCCTCAAGTCTCCAACTCCCCAAATCCCCAAATTCCCAAGTTCCCAACTCCCCAAATACCCAAATCTCAAAATCTCCAACTCCCCAAATTCCCAAATCCCCAAGTATCCAACTCCCCAAATCTCCAAATCCCTAAATTCCCAAATCTCCAACTCCCCAAATACCCAAATCCCCAAGTCTCCAACTCCCTAAATCCCCAAATCTCCAAATCTCCAATTCTCCAAGTCCCCAAATCCCCAAGTCTCCAACTCCTCAAATCCCCAAATCCCCAAATTCCCAAATTCCCAAATTCCCAAATTCCCAAATCTCCAACTCCCCAAATACCTAAATATCCAACTTCCAAAATCCCCAAATCTTCAAGTCTCCAACTCGCCAAATCCCCAAATCCCCAAATCCCCAAGTTCCCAAATCTCCAAATCCCCAAATTCCCAAATCTCCAACTCCCCAAATCCCCAAATCCCCAAGTCTCCAACTCCCTAAATCCCCAAATCTACAAATCCCCAAATCTCCAAACCTCCAACTCTTCAAATCCCCGAAACCCTCCACAAACCAACAAACGAACCCCCCATTCCTCCATCAAGATTTCCCTAGTCCATCGACTCACCACCGACCGTACCTCACAGAAAAGAAATAACGAGGAAAGATCGCAAGCGATCAGCGTCTCTTCACCCCAGAAGTGTCTCCGTGAAGGATTCATCCCGCAATAAGCTTCCGTAACGCGGATTCCTTCGTTAACGAGCGAATTCACGGTGTCTCCTACCTGCTTGTCGACTTTGATCTAGCCTGACGAGGAATCAAAGAAACGTAAATGAGGAATAAAGTACGCGGAAGACGCCAACGACGCTTTTAAAAAACACTCCTGGCGCGCCACGCTTCTTTCTCGTCCTCCGTCCTCGCGTTTTCTTAACTTTCAAACGCGAAATCTTTCTTCTGTACGTGATCCCTTTTTCGCAGGGTTTACGAGGTGAATCGTTACGAGCAATTACTTGAAAGCCTTTGTAAAACTTACCGGTCTGCCGGCTAGGTTTTCCCAAGTGAAATGTAGCTTGTGAACCTGCGCTGGCACTGGGACCACGAATTTAATCGCGTACTCGTTTATCACACCCTCTCGCACGTAGAACAATTCTGCCTGCAGACCTGCAACAGATATATATTTTCATTATTATTCTTTCATTATGTTAATTGTGTTGAAATTGTAGGGAAGTGTTCATAAGTCTGATATTGGAACAGGAAGCATCTATTGCTATTATTAGACAGGTGGTAGTTTTAGAAACTGTGTAAGGTCTCAATTTTTTAGTTCAAAAGGTGATGAATTTTCAAGCTTTCTAATTGATGTTCATTGTAATTTTTATTATTTATAAAAATGATATTATTGTTTATTAAATGACATTATTGTCTTTTGTTACAATTATGGTGCTGTACGTGTGACAAATAGTGCATTCATCTTTTGTCATTGATCATATGTGTATTTATAGTAGGTGTGTATAGTCAATAAGTATGTGGTCAATAAATATTGTAGCAAGTTTTTTTTGTTTTAACTAAAATGGGATTGTATATGATAAGCATAAAATAAGATAATAGTAAAATAATAAACTCAACAGAATTTATTAAATTTTTCATTTCTCAACTTTCCATCCTCAGCAGCTATTATGTTGCTACCTATCAAAAATACTTTCTAGTGCAAAGAGTCATATCAAAACAATTCTACATCATCATCATCATCATCATCATCAAACAAAAAATTACATAAAATAAATTCTAAATAAATTCATCACAAAATATAAAATTATAATAACCAATAGTATCGAAAATCCACGCGTTGTTCAGAGAAGAAGAAGAGTCTGTTGAAACAAGCATCGTAATCCTAGGATCAGTAGCGGAGTTCACATTCGGGAGTCCGAAGGTTAGGAAGAGAGTAAAAAGACCCGTGTATAAAAATCGAAGGGCGAAGATCGGGGCAAAAGAGAAAAGAGCACACGTTGCGGTACACCCTTCGTAGGGTCTATGTTCGCTGTATCAGATACGAGTCGGATTTTTAAGTCACCCGAAGACAATGTGCCGTAGCCCCCACAATCGTGTCTTTACTTTTGGTCCTCTTCTTCTTTCGTCGTCCCTTGCCTCCCGTTTACCATCGGTCCTCGGCCTTTACCGGTTTTCTGCATCAGATATCGTATACCCACGACCTCAACGGCCGCCATTCCTCCGACCAGTGCCTCGTTGCACGCTGCTCCTTCTCTCCTGGAGACCAACCTCAGTCGTAAAAAACACGCCGAGCACCCTGTTGGATCCTCTCGGAAAATAATTATCTTACGATCCTCGAAACCACGCTGAGTTATCGCCGGTAAAAATCAAATCCTCGGACCGGGACACTTTTATACGCGCGTTCCGAATATTGATGATACGGACTTCGCCCGCAGTCATTGAGTCATCGAAGGCTCTACGGGAAAGTCTTCGTTGGGAAACGTATACGGAAATTTATTTGACGAGTTATGTGGCGGTTACGCTAATTGAAATGTACTTTACTTGGGCTGATTTGTATTCTTATTAATAAGTGTATTAAACTTATGCATTTTTCAGTTGTTTTTAAGTTTTCAGTGATCATACAAATTCTGTTAGCTGTCTACTCTACTGGTAATTAAATATTGAAACTATGGATAGTTGTACAAGTCAGTATAATTGTTGAAACAGTCGATGAAGAGTGGGTCCCTACCTACTCCTATTCTAAGATAACCATCAAAAGGTAGAGTCTAAAATAATCATCGAAACAGTCAATTGTAGCATTCTCTATTGTAGACATAATCATAAAATTAGTCGAAGAGCTGCCTATTGTCCACCGACGACATAGGTGTTTTCGTTAAGCAAAACTTGGGAGGGTTGCATTAAGATCTTCTTACGCATTTACGCGTAGGTTAGCAAAGAGGTGGCGGATACCAGAGATCCTTTGATGTCTGGTATGCCTGCAACGGGCCAAAGTACATACTAAGCAAGAGCAGCAAAGAGAAAAGAACAAGATGAAGGAGATGCGGTAAGGGAAAGAAAGAAAGAAAGAAGTAGAGCCCTTTCAACGAAAGCGTCGACCCTCAACAACGAGTGCCAGACACAATTGTCACGAGGGGTTCCGCGGCACTTCGGAACCTTTCCTCTTGGTACATGCGCGATCTTCAACTACAACGTGCTTGCTAGAACACTCTAACTGTTATACCCTACCGCCAACTGCTGATACCCGGGAAAATGCTCGGGATCAAAGATAAGGAAGCAAAGAAATTCTCAGACGGCCAGTCGACTCGGTAAACCTGCCCGCAAGTCAGATATCGATCAACAACATTCTGGAAGGCGAAACAAAGGTGTAAAAGAACTCTCTAACAGATCTTTCCTTGTATGCACCTTCTTTGATATGCTTACCCTTGTTTTCGACTGCAACTGGCTACTTTGCGGGTCTCGTTTTAGAGACAGCTTTATAAGCTTTCTGTGTGATGCTGGTAGCTCGATGTGGATAGTTTGCAAAATGGGGAGCTTGTTCTTGTAGTCGTAGGTTTGCAAAGTTCAAATATGATGAATAGATTCATGAGATAAATGCTTGCAAATAGGTGTAGGTAAATATCAAAAAGTAGAACCTAATCCAAACCCCAAAAAGAAGCGATTTAAAAATGGCCGTACGACAAAAAACTGTAGGAGAAAACGAAATAAATAGGGAAATTGTCCTTTTTGTTAACGGTCAGAATTGTAAAGGTCTAAGGTGTTCGTCCGTAATGGCGGACAAAGGAGGGAAAAAAAGTGTCGGGCATAAAGGCTGCAGATAAAGAAGGAAAGCGAACAAACATCTTCGTTTCGCGAGGCGCGAAACAGCCGGCAAAATTTCGCAGGGAACCGTGTCCCCCGCTGTCAAAATACAGTATGGAGGCGAGTTGACAAGCGAAACCCCAAGAGTCGCGATATAAAAGAGAGCAGAAAGAAAGAAGAAATAGAAAAGAAGGAAAAAAAGGAGCCGGTGAATTGCGGGCTAACTGCGGGGGCCCTAGTTTCTCTCGGTCCCTCGGCCCCAAGGCTTTGGGTCAGAAACCCAACACCTTTTGAACGCGAAACCCCATGGAACGTTTATAACGAGATCCTCCACTGGCGAAGCTCTTAAAAAGAGATAACAACGACGTGGTGCAAGTAGGAGGAAAGAGAATAGAGGGAAATGTAGAAGGGGTGCAGTGCAGGTCAAAGAAACAGGAAATATTAGATTTACGTGTCGTGACGCCTGCTTACAATGCACTGCCTTCAATTCTTAATCTTTCTTCATTACACCCACCATTTTCTTTTGCATTTTATGTGCACTTCGGACATTTTCTTTCAGCTTTAAGAATTTTTATATTTTAATATTTAGGAATGCTTGATAATTTTATTTAGAAATTTGCGTTTTTAGGAAATAATTTTTATTAGGTAGATAATTTTGAGAAAAATGTATAATTTTTAATAGAGCGACAATTTGGATGCAGGATAATTATTTTTAGTACACAATAATAATGTTTAATGCAAAGACAATTTGAATAGAGGGTAACTATTTTTAACACAAAGTAATAATTTTAAAAGAAATAATTTTTACTGCAAAAACAATTTGATTCCAGAGAAATAATTTTTGCTACAAAGACAATTTGATCCCAAAGAAATAATTTCGACTACAAAGACAATTTGATCCCAATTTGATTAAGAAATAATTTTTACTACAAAGACAATTTTAACACAAAGTAATAATTTTCACTGTAAAACAAATTCGAAATAATGTTGAATACAAAGTTAATTTTGAAACATAATAGGTCCTAGGTAAACTCAAACACGTAGATCCAAAAATGATCCGCAAGCCGAGGTTAACGACCAGATCAAGCAGCTGGTACTCGCCAATACCTCGACATGAAATCTCAGGAGATCTAATAACGTATCCACGTGTATGCCTGTGCATCTACAAACGAGCTCGCATTTATACTTGCATGTGTATCGTACGTACACAAAACACGTGCTGCCTTTGGATAGGATATTTTTCACTTTCGCCAGTGCAGCCAAACGACGTGGGCGTGCGTATATACCCGGTGCACGTACACCCACGTGCAAAACGTTTACTTCCTTCGATTAAGGGGAACAATGCAGGAAGAAACCTTACAACACTTGTTCAACGTGCTCTTTTTCCTCTCAACCCTTTCAATTTTACAATATGTGTATTCTTAAAAAGACTGCCTTTTTTCATTCGTATTGTACTTGGAATTTTGGTATTAATTTATTTTGGATCTTGGTTTATTGTTAGATCTGGATCATGGTTCTTCATTTGTATATTGTATTGTAGTACTTATATCTTTTAGGTGTACATTTGTAATTAGATCTAGATATGTAGTTACGTGTGGGTCATAGCTTCCTAAGTCCTATTTCACATTTTGCTAATTATTTGGGTCTAGGTTTGTTGTTAGATTTGGATCATGGTTCTCTGCATTGCAGCACTTATATCTTTTAGGTGTACATTTGTAATTAGATCTGGATATATAGTTACGTGTAGGTCATAGCTTCCTAAATCCTATTTCACATTTTGCTAATTATTTGGGTCTAGGTTTGTTGTTAGATCTGGATCATGGTTCTCTACATTGCAGCACTTATATATTTTAGGTATACATTTGTAATTAGATCTAGATATATAGTTACATGTGGGTCATAGCTTCCTAAGTCCTATTTCACATTTTGCTAATTATTTGGGTCTAGGTGTGTTGTTAGATCTGGACCATGCTTCCTAATCTGTATTTTGCATGTTACTACCTGTACATACATATATTCTAGGTGTACATTCATAATCAGGTCTAGATTTGTAACTACATGTGGATTAAAGCTTCCTAATTTGTACTTAATATTTGACCAATTACTTAGGTCTGTAATTAGATGTCCAAGATTTAACTTGTATTTTGTATTCAAGAAAAGACCTGTGAAAAATTGAAACTCTCCAGCAAAACGATAGCAATTGTAAAGTACACAGAACCGCGAAATAAGCAATTTGATAGAATAGATTCACCCTATATGACACAGAAGGCTGTCTGGTTAGCATATATCGAACGAATACGTGGGTTGTTCGTCTGCCAACGGGGGTCTCTTCTTCTGAATAACCCATAAGTCCTGGC